GACACACACACAGTTCGTCAGCATTACATAACAGAATTTTACAAAACAGAGATGGACCGTGCCAAAATATAGATATTCACAGGATTGTCCCACCTTATGCATTTCTTGTACAAGCGTACCTAGTATTCGTCACTAGGCACTATCCTTGGTTCAACGTGGCTTTTGGCTACAGGGCCCCTACAGTACTACCCCGCCACCAAGTTTCTTGTCAGAACTCACTCCGTTTCTTATAAATGGACAAAAAAAAAATAAACAAATCCGAACAATTTCTGATAATTACAGCAAGAAACTCGGAAAATGTGCATGTATGTTTCAATAAAAAACCATGAAATCTGCTTTTACGTGGGTTATATCAAATCCAAATTTTCGACCGATTACTCATATTAAGCTTTGTCAAAGTCAGATAATCAAAATAAAAAAATCAGATAATATAAACTACCGTAAGTACTAGCCTTGCAAGCTAAATTTAAGGCTGATTGGTTTCTTATTTCAGGGTAGATGTGGATCTATCTGGCAGGCTGCTGCAGTTTCTTATAAGTTGGTTTCTTAGTGGCGGGGTAATACTGTATTGGGACATCAGAGACGAAAAAACATTCATGCATCCTCTAGCTAATGGGTCACTGCTCTGGGTACCAGAGCCCCAAGAAACCGGGAATAAAGTATAGTAGACGGCCGCGGTTGCAAAGAATGAGTGTCCCTCAAATCAATATGTCTGTGGAGACTCTGGCAACTAGGGTAATGGGCCACAAACTTCAAACCTTCTACAAATCGGTAACAAAAACGCTTGATCTAGGCGTGGCACAGTTATTTCCATGGTCCATCCTCTGGACCTGTGTGTTATCTGCACCCGTATTTGTAATTCATAGGTGTTCGACGGCGACAGTTAGAGAAGTATTTAGTTTACAATGTCAGTTTGTTGGAATAGAGTTCTTAAGTGATGACGTCACAAAAATCTATTTTTAGAATTTTTGAATTTAGATCCCAAAGCCTGAAAGAGCATCATGAAATACCTCCAAATATGCAAAATCATTCAAATGTGTTGCGAATTGGCTGAGATATGGTCACATGTGTATTGGCTTTTTCCCCATCAAACTTATTTTGGTCTCTGTTCATAACCTAATGAACAGAGCGAAAATAACAGTGATTCGTTAGCAAACTTCAAATCTTTCATTGGCAATATCTAAACTGATTTTAGACATATTTTGGACCTAGAATTTTTCATAGTGATCTTTTATGTTATGTGGTTAAATTCAAAAATTCTAAAAATAGGTTTTTGGTGACGTCAAACCTTAGAACTCTATAGAAAAAGCAAATTTTGTTATGTTCAATACAATGAGCCTTTCACGGAGACAAATTCAATTATAGGGCTCTAAACACACAGACATCCGAAATAAGCTTCCTGAAACTAGGCCTCGTTGTGCAACAAATCGTTCGACAAAGAAATCAATATTCTGTCACAATCAACTAACTAGCCTTTGCAACTATTCTTGGTTTCATAACAAATCTGATAGTTTCAACAAACAACTATAATTTCCGCAAGCCAGCCAGGCAGAACCACCCTACTGTTCGGAGAAGCTCGTGGTTAAAGAAATAAGCATGAAAGAGAAAGAAGAGGAAGGACTAGTTTCAGCAAAGGATACATTTTTTTTCATAAACTGCAGTCTAGAAGCTTTTACAAGAACGTCGCTACAAACCATTAATCGAATAGTATTTCGATATGACATGTAGATCAAAAGACTGTTTGGGTTGATTTGATTAAAATTGTTACTTCGGCAATTACAAATTAAGCCACAATTTCCAGCTCTAACTTGCAGGTACGATAGGTTGTGTTTGAGGTTGGTTGCACTTGCAGATGGAAGAGTTTCAGACCCCAGCAAGTGAGTTGTTCACAATCGCCAATGCAAGCAGCTGAATACAATCGCCAATGCAAGCAACAGTGAACAAACCCTGACCAAGCCTTATTTTTATAGTTTATTTGAGCATGGGTTTTTTTTGATTCACTAGAAGAAAGATATGATAGTTGACGAACAGGTTTGAAAGGGAAACAGACTTTTCAGGTGGTTTAACCCTTCAATCTCCAGTAGTTATCAACTTGAGGCAACTTTGACAACGCACATTTTCAAACGAGGACTAGCCTGACTTGACTCATCCTCTTTCTCTATTCAGAACCTCTGCAATTTGTATTTGATAAACGATATAAGGGTTGGCATGGAGAAGGAGAGGGCTCAAAAGGCGGTACCTGATATGAATGAAAGTTTCCACTCAAATAGGCACTTTTTTGACTCAAAGGAATGGCATTTACCCCGGTGCTCCCTGCCCCACAGTCCATGTATCATTATCACTAAGAAATAATAGGACTCGAGAAAACATCGTTGAAAAATTAAAAAAACATTATAGAAGTGGATGGCAGAAATGATATAAGATAGTGACAGAGAACTGATGATCAAATCTCATTTTTTCTGTTTTCAAATGAAATGAATACAGTTCCATTGTTTTCTGTCGCTTTGACACGAAGTTCCGAGCAAATCTATAAGTATCTACGGTTTAGATTTGGAAAATTTATAGATTTTGCGGGGCCCAAAAATTTCGGCAAAGGCTTACTTTTTTAAACCATTGAAAAGCTTTACGATTTCTTGCTGCCTGCGACTGCTTTAATAGCATGTTTAATGCAAAGAAAATTATATTAGTTTACGAGTCTTTATAACCCCTAAATAGATAAGTGGAATGGGTTCTCACGCCTTAACGCTATCCTTTCTTCCTGCAGTAATCGTGGCGTCTTCATAGTAGCTGCAAACATTTAAGCAATTCCATTAATCATTAAGTGCTGCTGGGAGGTGATTCACGAATGATCTGAATCATGATAATCACAGGTGCAGCAACAGGAAGCAAACATCAAAGTTGCAATTGAAAGCTTAAAGGTGTCGGATACGGGTTGTGAGGCACGAGACTTTGAAACAGTTGCAAGAGGGAGAGGATATCCATGTGGTGACGCCTAATTAACCGAGACTGTATTCAATGAAGAGCTTCCTAATCAACTAGGGGAAGATGAACAATAAAACAGGGTGTAGCTCTTGTTTAATAAGGATCTTCCGTCCATTGCTAATGAAAGGCTATGATTCTGCAGACAATACAGTAGAGTCTCCATATAAAATGAGCTTCCCTTTTCCTGTTATCAATTTAGCACCGCCTGAAAACTTTTTATGTACCTGTCAGCTTATGAAGACGATGTGGTTACAAAGTTTATTTAAGCACTCATTCGGCTGTTTCGTTGATGAATAAAAATTATATCATTATTTGGGCTTATCACCTTTCAAGTCACAGAACTTCACTTCCTTCTCCTTAGCCAACTGTCAGGTTTGAGCTTCAATGAAAGAAGGTAGCGTATTGCTCAGCAAATATGATTAGATAAACAAAAAATAATAAACCATTATATCGGCCTGCTTTCTGATCCAATAAAAGCATTGGTCAGCTACTTCCTATAAGAAACTCAACAACACAGCATCTACTTTCGAGCTTACAAAAAATGAATTAAAATGGGAATGTCTCACATAATTTGAAAGTAGAGATTTCTTAATGTTGCTCTTATTTCAACATTGATCTTTCCACAATAAATTGTTCTTAAGACCATTATTATACTAAATAACAGGTTTGTTTGATATTTATAAGTAGCGCGATGGATTAGACGATCAAATTTCTTTTTAATCTCTGTCTTGTTAAAATGGGTGTAAATTTTAATAAACAATTTGTTTTCTTCTATTTTTTCACCTGAGACTGGACTTTCTTTTATTTTGTTATTATTTCTAGGTTAATCGAGCATCGGTATCTTTTGTTTAAGATTAAAACGACATATCAAAAAAACATACATCTACACTGCAAGAAAGATGCCTAGATTCTAGGCTCTAATCTTGGATAAACATACTTTTCATCGCTTATCGTTATTTTGTAATTAGATTCAGAATTACAAAGGACTTATGACCATGAGACGTCAGTAAGGGAGGCAAAACAGTAAAGAACTTTTGTTATACAAATAGAAGCAGGCTGACCCAGACGTAGACTGGCTATAAAAATGGGATGGAATTGTGGAAAGACAGTGCAACCACGCACTTTTATCAAAGGTTTAGAGATAATGACGGTATCCCGATGGCTACACGCCAACATCCTTTCGGTCAAAGCAGAGTTATGCAGTACACACAGTTTTTTAAGAAACTAAGTAACAAGGCTGGCAAGATTTTGCAACTTCTGTGGAAATGGTCGTTAACCGTTTCAAGGCATAGACAGAGGACGCACAGCTAAAAAGACGTTTATACAGACAGACAGACTATTCTGTGGGTGCATTTCTCAATAGCTGAAAAAGGAAAAAACGGGCTCTCCGTGGGAATCATTTTTTAGCTTACAGGGTAAATAATTTCACCCAGCCATGCGACATCGGGTAATACAGGCTTATAAAGAAAATAGATGAAATTCTGGAACTTTGTTGGAAATTCTGAAGGAAAATTTTTAAAGATAGTAAGGGTGAAATAAATCTCACATCAAATATAGAGGAATCAAGGAGAAAGATTCGAGGTCCTGTCAAAAATATAAGAAAATGACGCTTCAACGTCTCAGTTCCTATAATTGTTTCTACATTTGAGATATTGCTTGACAGCTCGAATGTGAACATCTTCCTTGCTCATAAGGTGAATTCTGGATAGTTATATAATACATCACAGTATGTTTTAATCAAACTTGCATAACTATATCACTGCTTCACTCTAATTATTTTATTTGTGTCTTTGTTGTTTAAGTGCATAAAACCAAAAAATATTTATGAGCACAGAGCTACCCTGTGCCTCTGTTCTACCCAGTTCTCACAAACTTTGTGGTTTGCATCAATCAGCATATTCATTAGGCCGGAGCATAATAACTTGCAGGGCTTAAGAAATCTAGAAGACAAAGTGACGTCATTACCTGAGCTGAGCTGACATGATACAGACTATCTAGAAGAGTATTGAGCTACTCACCTGTCCGAATGAATCTATTTTAACACCATGTGATGTGAGAAACTCGCGTGTTTCTGCGACCAGCTGTGTTTCTCCTAAAGCCATTCTCACTGCTAAACTATCAGAATTTTCTGCTTCCAAAATTTTGCTCTTTTGTACATTCATCCGCTGTGCTAGTGTATCAACAATGGCATTTTGACCGAGAAAAAGCGTGTTCCAGTTGTGGCCACTCGAACTCAAATTTTTCATTTTTGCAGCTCTCTCCTTCTTGTATGATGTTCCCTCTGCATAAGAAGAAAATTGTGAACAATTTTTTTGCGGTACAGAATTTGAAAATGGCTTTGAAAAAAGCAAACATTTTACAACATACTTAAAGCTTTTTCGTCTGACACTCCTCAGAGAAGAAGAAAATTGTTTCGCATTAAAAAATTAATGAAATTGATGTTTACGGGTCTGTCATAAAGTGTTCGATGCCGCATAGTCAGAGCTGTACACGCTTCGGTTGCCCGATGACCGCATTAAGCTTGAAACTCGGAGTATCAACTTAGAACCGTCCTCTTCAACACCCAAAAAGCGCATTAAAAATTGGATGGAATAGGAGAGTTTTAGCTTGAGCTGCCCCCATTTTGTTGTTGTCATCAATCATATGGAGTAGCATGAAAGCACCTGTTAGACCATGCGAACCATTTGTATTTTACTGAACAAAATGAAGAATTTACCAAAGTTATACTTAGGTATCGAACTATAATATACATTGCACAAGAGTTTTTACAGCCCTTTTGAATCTAAAAATGAAGAAGAACAGGGACAAGTGACATGTGTAGTTGTTGTTGCTCGCTTGGCTAGAGGTTAAACTGTTCAGCTTTAACACCTATGCTAGCCTGACAATAAATGTGAAACTGGCTCAAGTATTTGTCAGTAGCTTACTGAAGCTGAAAATTTGTTGCAATTTAGCTGCAAATTTTTCATGAAATGACCATGGGGTACTCGTGACCTTCTATTACCCTTGGTATCGTTCTTATAATATTATAAAGTCATTTGGTACGTACAACCCTAGATAAGTCGTTTTGTTAGATAAGGCATTTTTTATATTTGAAGCTATATATCTTTCAAAGCTGTAAATTTGATTCAAACGTTTCGTGAGCTTAAGAGATTACAAATTTATCTCTCTTTCAGTTAACGTTTCCATAATACAACTAAAAGTGCCGTACGAATTCCACAATGTTCCTAACTAAATGCATTTCCATGAATAGTTTTTGACGGAAATGTTTCCGTTCCTCATCATCATATTACAACACTGTCACAATTTCGGTCAGAAAAATAGACAAATTCCGTTAAAGGTGCAAAAAATAGCTGAAAATGATGTGAAACCATCTGTTTCTACCGGGTTTGCGACAAATGGCACCCACAATTAGACAAAAGTCAGGAGTCAGACTTTTGCCTAATTATGGGTTACCTGAGATAAATGGCCTGACATCTGATACATTTGATGACTAAGTTTCGAATTACAAAATTCAGCTTTTTCGCAGACGCGATGTGACATCAAAGAGACGTCAAAAAATTGAAAATAACTTGTGATATGCGAAATATAAGTTGTGATATGCAACACATAATATTTCTATGAAATAGGCTGTGTCTTAGCAACATGAAGCCATAGAGGATCTATATGCAATCAACCTATCGTTGAAACTTCTATCTGTCTATCTGTCTAACTTCTGTCTACATTCTGCCAACAGAGAGGCAGATAGGCCTGTCCGACGATAGAAATGAATTAAAAATTAAAAAAAGTATTGCTATTAGCTATTGCTTTGCATTTATTGTTTCTCTGCAGAAGTTTTTCTAATTATTACCTTATTGGTCAGAGGAAGAACAAAAATCGACATGTTGATTCAATGTTCACTTAAAGCTATAATTTCAACTGAAACTTTCATTGGCAGCTAGACTTGTCATCAATACCACACACCGTTAGAGGGAAAACATTCTTGCTTCAATTAAAAAACATCTAACCTTGACCAGTAGCTTGGTTTTCAGTGGCTCTCTTGCCTCGTGCAGGTATAACATGGAGTAATCGACCTTGAAAGACCTTTCCATCTAATTCATTGAAAGCAACAACAGCGTGCTCTGGCATTACAAAAGTAACAAAACCAATACCAGTGATTCGTTTTGTTGCCTTGTCGATTGGAAGATGAACCTCAGCAATAGGACCGTACTTCTCAAACAATGCCCTCACGTCATCTTCGGTGCATGAATACGACAGGTTTCTCAAAAACAAGCGCCCTGATTCGGCAATTGGTTCTTCTTCCTCATTTGGGGCTATAGCCTACAAATAAAATGAGTTTCAACTGTCTTAAGGGGCATCTACAATCACTGCCAAAATTACCTGGAACACCTAACACTTTGCGCTGTGCTTCTCTATTTTTCATTTGTTTTCTTGAATACTACCACTTCCGCCCCCCCCCTTTCCCCCCAAAACAATGTTGAAAGTATAGAAAAATATCAAACAATCCACAAGAAAAAGCGTACTCCATAACCACTTTCTTTTTTCTATAGTAAATCAACATTGTTCCTAGGGGGAGAGGGGGATGGCCGAATTTGCCTTTGAAAACTTACGTTAGTGTTCCAAGACTTTTGGCAGTGATTGTAGATAAAAGGTAAGAAACAGGAATAGTTTAAATAGACCTTGTGATTACGACGGCATTTCAGGCCTAGCTCATAACTTAACTTGAATTTGCTTGTCTAAACTTGGTTTTTAAACTCTTCTGTATTCAAATAAGCCGTTCAATCAGTGAATTATCAAAGACAGCAGTGAATCAATTGATGGCTTTTTTCTATCTTTTCAGTCAAATAGGTCTTGCATTCCCGTTTCCAAATAATCCAAAACTTAATTCACACCATGTTTACGCTTAAGCTGATGTTTCAACTTCACCAGCGACTTCTTTGAAGAACGCTTGAATCCAATAAATGGGTCATTATCACCGAAAACATAATGCTTTTAAATCAACTGGTATGATTAAACAATTACCTGAACAAAAATTGAATCTGTTAACACACAAAGAAATACGGTTTGTATCTACGGTTGTCTTGTCTTCCCCAAGGAAACCATTTAAGAACATTCTCAGTCTCTCAAGTTAACATGACTATGAAAAGGATTAAATGTAGCTAATAGCCACACTCTTTATCACGATAGCAACTTAAGAAAAATTATACTTAGTTAATCCTTCTCTAAAATCAGCTTATTAAAATATTATATCAAGCTGAATACAGACACAGTCCTTTTATAGGATAACTTGAAAAACTTTATGTATCACATTTCCATAAAAACATTAGCTTTCTTACCTTTTGCATCCAAAGCGCATTAGGACGTTTGGATTGTTCATCTTCCATTTTCATCCTAAACAACTCCACATATCGATTCTTTATTTTTTTGCTATTCTTTTTCATAGCCATATTTATATCTTCTTCGTTTTCAAAGTCAACATAGGCATATCCTTTTTTCCTTCCCTTTTCATCCAAAGGCATTCGAATATCAAGGATTTTTAGAGGAAAGAAAAACTCAATAATTTGCTTTTCAGTAGAAGAAAATGGGATTCCACGCATTTTGACTGTCAAGTTCATTTTTTCAATGTCACCTTCCTCTTCAGATTCAGAAACTGAATCATCAGATTCAGAACTAGATGCAGTATCTTTATCATCGTCGTCATCATCATCATCATCATCATCATCATCGTCATCATCTTCTTCATCTTCCTCTGTGCGGCTTTCATCTTCACTTGAACTCTTCAAAGATTAAATTACATTAAAACTAAATCACAAAATATGCTAAGTACATATGCTTAGCAGAATAAGTTAATGACTTCTTCTGACAATAGCTGTGAAATACTTTCATGTAAGTTGTTCTTTAAGGTTTGTGGCAGAAAAGCAACCTTCACCAAGCATTGTCTTTCTAGTCAAATGCTTATATAACTGATCAAATCGGTCAAATGCTAATCTATTAATGTGATTCAAATTAACATTCCAATTGAAAAAAAACTGGCATCACGTCGTAGACTTATAATTTGAAATAAGTTTCACCTTCTTTGTGATCTTTGACTGTAGCCAGTCCAGATCAGATTTATCATCTTTCTTGAAATTTACATTTTCTTCATCAATATTGTTTTGTTCCTCCTTATCATTGGCATCCTCTTCAACTTGATCTATATCAGTGAGTTCATTTGAAGCCTACAATATTATAACAAACATAAACCTATTCTTAAATTTAGAATATTCATGTTTGGTAAACAATTTTAAGAAATCAATGACAACAATAAGATGCTGTTTAGCAGTGCAAGGGTATGAACTAAAACTAAAATTAGTCACACTAACTCAATGTTCAAACAATTATCAACTGTTTGAAAGCGGGATTTCCCCCTTTTAAGGGCCATTAGGTGTTACATGCAGTTCTCCAAAATATGGAGTGTTTTTGTTTACAAAGGGTTGCAAAGTATTTTGCATGACATCATTAGCAGAATACTTTATGCTTGAGGGGTCAAATGCAGAAGGACATCATTTGGCATCCCACTGCAAGGCATTTAGGGTTTTGTGGTCAAGCCCAGTTTGCAGTTTCCAAACAGAGAAAGGCAGGTATGGAGCAGAACAAGAGGGAGGAGCTACACCCCCAAAAAAAGTCTCAATACTACCTTTTTCTTAATTCTTGATATTTTGCAGACATGTTCAGATAGCTATTACTTACAAGTTTCAAGAGAAAAGAAATTGGCACCAAATTAGGTGGCATAAGTTTTTTAATACCACCCTGTTTTTAGATTGGTATAGATTCTTATTTTTACAGAGTACATGACAACACCGACACCCTGAAGATATATTATAGACTTTATCAATGATTTAAAAAACTTTATCCAAAAAGAGCTTTTACAAAGATGTGGCCAGGGCGCGAGATCTTGATGTGACATGGGTGTGCCCTATAGCTTAAAGCAAATGAAAGTTCAAAGAGTTTCCTCAAGTTCAACATAATCTTGCATTGGTTTGATAATAAAATAACTATCAATCATGTATATTTCTTATCTTAGTCAACTTGTGCTTCTTAATTGATATCCTTGGGCTCTAGCATAATTTTCACAGTAATGGGCACAACTGAAGTCCACACTAATACGAAGATGTACACTTGAAATTATTAGAATTCCACGGAGAGTATCTTGAAAGATAAACTATGTTTAACGAACATAACAAAACAACTTATATGATCAAAAGATAATACTAGGCGACATTAGGTATTCAGCATAAGAGTAGTAAAAATGTGTTCATGTTCATGTGCAGCATGACTAAGCAAGGCTCAACTGAAAGTGTCAATCAATGATACTATGAGTCAAAACATGATAATAGTAAATGTCTTGTCAGAAATTTTTCTCTTGCACATTTGAGAACTCACTGGGAACTGCCATATATTTTGTTATCTAAACTAGAACACTATGGTGTTTGTGGATGTGCACTAGTGATTAAGCTCATATCTCTCTAATAGAATGCAATTTATTTTTGGTTAATGGCTGTAACTCTGACTTGCTTAAAATTTCTTGTGGTGTTTCACAAGGATCTGTATTAGGACCATTACCGTTTCTTATATACATCAATGATCTACCTAATGCTTTCAAGAAAACTTAAGATTCATCTTTTTTGCTGATGATACAAACATTTATTGTGAATCCAATGATTTGTCTAATCTAACTAAAAAAGTAAGCTGTGAGCTGAGATCAGTCAAAAATGGTTAGATGCTTATAAATTATCATTAAATATTGGAAAAACTAACTACATAATCTTTCACTCTACTTCTGTAAGTACTACTACTAATGCTGCTATCAAAATAGGGAAAAAACTAATTAAAAGGGTTAAGTTTTTTAAATTCTTAGGACTTGTTTTAGATGAGCACCTAAGCTGGAAATACCATCCTAATGATCTTTCAAAAAAATTATCTAGAAAATGTGGAATTTTCTTCAAAATTAGAAACCTACTTCTATTAGTTGTTTTACTCTGCCTGTATAATTCTCTGTTCTTTCCTTCTTACAATATGGCCTTGTTGTTTGGGGCCAAACATTTGCATAATATATTGAGCCAATTCTCAAATTGCAAAAAAACAGTCAGAGCAATTTCATTTCAGCCAGACTTGCCCCCCTCACTTCAAATTTTCAAAGATCTCAAACTTCTAGAACTTTCTGATATTTTTGAACTCCGTCTCTTGGCTTTTGTCTTTGATTCTGTCAATAAAACATCACCTACTTGCTTTCATGACTTTTTACTATTGAGTTCCTCTGTTCACAAATATTCCACAAGACAGGCCAGTCAAGGTAATTTATATTTGTGTCGTAAAAACAGTCTTCAATATGGGCTAAAGTCAATTCGATATCTTGGTCCTAAACTGTGGAATAATTTACCTTCTGAACTGCGAAATTCTCCATCAAAAAAATCTTTCAAACCGAAACTTAAAATTCACTTGTTAAACAAACAGTAAGCTAGTATAACTGCTAAATTCCTGTTCTGAGTTTTTCCAGCTGATTTTAATTAGTTGGAAAGTTCCCATTTTTATGTGAAAAGAGTATGTGCATTTTAGCCAATTACTTTGTATTGAAACTCATCAAAAACTGCTCAATTATTGTCCTAGAATAAAAGGAGGGGTCTCTTCTCGACTAGTTTACTTATTGAGAGATCTCCTCCTTTAAGAATTCCCTTCATCCAATTTATTTTGTCCTATATTTGTATTTATACTATTATGTAGTTTAGTTTAATAATTTCTTTGTATTAATGATATATAAATTGTATGTTGAGAATTTTAAAATATGAAACTGAACTGAAACTGAACTGAAACTGAACTGAAACTGAACTGAAACTGAAACTGAACTGAAACTGAACTGCCATGTTCTGCATTCTAACTAAAAGAATGTAAACTGGAGTTAACCTTCTTTTTTATTTTTTTTACCGAACTTGTACTAAAAGCTGATTTTTTTTGTTTGCTTGAGCAGCTGTTAAAAATACTTTAATAGTTGCCTTAAACAAAATAAACAACATGATATGCCCTACCACTGCCTTTCTTGAACTTTTCTTTTTTTCATTTTTATCTACACTGCTTTTTGATTCTTTAGCAGTCTTGTCAATTTCTGATTCTACAGTTTCGTTGCTCCAAATTTTCTTTTGTGATGGCTTCTCATGAGCTTTGATAAATTCGTTTAATTCTAGTTCATCGCTTGTATCTTTCTTTTCAACACTGTCGATTATATTCTTATTTCTATCCTCTTTATTGACACTGCTCTTTCCTTTAGCAGATGCAGAAAGTTTATCTTGCAGTAACTGAATTCGCTCTCTGCGTTCTTTCCTCTCTTTCGAATTTCTTTGAAATGCAGAACTTTGACTTGAGTACTTGCTCCACGGCCTAGGAACAGTTTGATCCCCGATATCTTTTGCGAGCTCTACAGTGATTTTGCTTGTCCCGATATAACTCTTATTGAAATAAGCAAGTGCCTCAGATGCAGAGGTTTCATCTTTAAAGCCAACAAATCCGAATCTTCTAGAATCTCCTGAGCTTTTTCGGCAAATCCTTGCATCCGTTATCTCGCCTTTTGAGGAAAATAATTCTGCTAACTTTGCTGTATCTAGTGTTTTTGGAAGATTTCTAACTATGAGTCGTGACATTGTCTAAGATCACAATTTCTATCAAATTCATTTGACTCTTCATTAAAAATTATTTGCTTTTTGAATGCATATTAAACTTTTTTCGTTGTTGAAAAAAATAATAATTTTGCGACATTCACCACCATTCCACATGTACCAACGATGTTCGTCTTACGGTCATTATGGAATTGCCTACAGTTCAAATATTTCGCGAACGCCCCAAAGCGAGGTTTGACGGCTGTTCGCTTCTCGATCTTTGAGAAAACGACTGTTTCAGGCGAAATGGCAAGCTCGTTTCTAGCAAGAAGGGTTTTCGCTCCATCACTACGTCGCATGACGACTACTGCATCTACAAGTGAATTTAAGAGGCATCTGGTAGAAGAGGAGGTCCATGCTGGAAGTAATTATTAAGCTTGTTTTTCTAGAAGCTACTCAGGTGTTACTGCAGGATTTAGGCCCATTTTTGATAATCAGCACCGAGAAGCCAGGGTTGAATCCACGTAAAACTACGCCAGTTTTATGCCAATAAACAATATAAATACATTGGGAAATCGTTAGTCCATGATACGTTCCTTATCTTTGCTGATGGAAACCCTTTATTTTTACTCAAACCGGATACTCTTCTTTAAACCGGAGAAAGGCGGCTGCTATATTCTATAATGTGGTAAATAATCCCTTTCTTCAGTCAAGGGCCAGAGTTTGCTTCTAAATTTAATAGTGAGGCGTTTAGATAGATGGCTCATTCCTATCATCTGCAAATTGAAAAATACTTTCTATGTAAGAAAGTTAAAATGTCCTACCTGGGGCGATGCCTTCCCTATATTAACAAAAAATCAAAGTACTTAGTTGATTAAAACATACATTTTAAATTGCCATTATTTGAACCAATGATTTAGATTCAGTTATATAAAATTTCAATATTAGTATTACCTGACCATGTTCTATTTGAATATAAATAAAAAAAATTTTTGTATTATATCTTGTAATTTAATCAGGATTCTGTGTTTTCTTCATGGTTTGATATATTTTGTCTCAGGCACCTGGGTCAATTGGAGACGTATTTCAATCTTTGTGGCAGTTCCTGCCGTTTTAGTTTGTGCCTGGAATGCTTGGGAAAAAGAAAAAGAGCATGCAGCCCATGGTAGAGGAGAGTTTGTTCCATATAATCATTTGAGAGTTCGCTCAAAGGTATAGAATCTTTTTAGAATTTATGAATTCTGTTATGTTTACTGATTGTTTGTGTATAATTTGAAGTCAAGAAATTTTGGATTCCTTGCCTGCTAAGAAAAACATCCTTTGATTGGATGATACAAGTGAAAGACTAAGATTGGAAATGGATTATCTATGCATTGTTTCTGTAGTTTTTTATAGATGTTTATTAAAAATGCACTTTCTTTGAATTTATACAATTGGATGTCGTTAATGATCAATAATCAGATGGTAAATTTGGATTTTTATTCATAACTTCAGCAGTGGCGCAATTTACACTTGTTAATTAACAAAGTCCTTTTGATGTTCTTTGCAAAAAAATTATTCAAGTATTTTTTTGTGAGATTTTTTTGTATTCAATTCAAATTGACTATATTATTTGCTTTTTGTTTGCTAGCCATTCCCATGGGGAGATGGAAACCATTCTTTGTTCCACAATTCGCATGCAAATGCTTTGCCAGAAGGTTATGAAGATGAAATTGAAGAATAGAGTGCCTTGTTTATTGACTGATATGGTCTATGTCCTAGTTCACATACATTGTTATTTTAACAAAAATTAAACATATTCTTCGTACAAGACACTAGACACTTCCTGTAGAATTTCTTTGATTTCCACTGTTGTGATATGAAATAGTTGTGACAAACCAGATTTTGCTGTTTTTTTGTGTCTTTGCTTAAAAGGTCCTGATACCTGTGAGTATTAGTATGTTATTCCAGTGTCATACAGACTTAAGCAGAAAAATAATTGTGCATATGTTTTTGCATTTTGAAAAATACTTGTGCAATGCAAAAAGTATTTATTCAATAAAAATCTATTTAAGCTAGAAGAAAAAGATGCATGCAATGCTTTAAGTATTCTTTAATGCACAAAGTATTTATTCAATGTTCATTGATACCTAGAAGTGCATGTTTTGTAGTGGGTGGACATCTACACAGATTTATTTATTTATTTTCTAAACATACATTCATACAACACAAAAAACAGTCTTTCACTGAGAATGCCATAAGCTGTGACCAACAGTGGTCAGCGAAAGTTTTTATACAAATGCAACAAATTTCCCACAAACATTAGAAACAAGCAAAATTACCACAGATATAAAGTTGCTGTTCACAGCCACATTAGAATATCTTTCAACACTCTATCCTAAATAGACAAATTCATATCTTACCTCAGCCTATATCATATCTTTTTATCACAACTTACTGCTTTTTAATTTTGCCAATAAAACTTTGTACTTTTATTCATTTTCTTATTGCACATTAAAAAATCATGCAACTGGAGTTGTATCAAAAATCATGTCATATCGTGTAATGTTAATGTATTAAATATCATCACGTGTACTTTTTCTTAACTTGCCATCTCATAATAGTCCAGTCCAGTCCAGTCCAGTTTTCTGCATAAATCAGTTAAAAAGACAGGATAAAGTATTGCTAGCGCAATGATTAACATTTTGCTACTGACATATGGTTCGTCTTCAACAAATTCTGTAGACTGTTTTTAAATTTGTCTGTGGTTTCAATATCTTTCAAGATTTGGTCAAAACAATCTTAACCAATAATTAATTTGAAAGAAACGTCTGGACAGTAGTGACTGTGGCCCCAGTTTCAAGTTCTCGATTGTAGAATGCCTGAAATATTAGGTTTGGTTGTGAAAATCATTTTTATTAGTCCTCGATTTGTTTGTATAAGTAGCTATGCAACCACCATTTAATAACTAATCCGCTCAACATAGCATGAATTTCGAAACCTATCCAAGTTTAAAGATCCTTATCTTTGGGAAACAACTGGGAGTGAGAGAGATTTGTGGCAAAGTTATAAGTAGCTAAAAATCTTAACATTTTAACCTGGTACTTATGCAATTTAACATCTTGTTTGTTCACTTATTACTTGTTAGGCATTTATTATTTCTATTACTCATCATTAGAATCTAAAAATGACAGACAGATCTGTCTCAAGCTTCAGTTGCAAGAATATACCGAGTCCTGGCCTGGTCGGGATCTGCAATGCTATTATATTGGTAAACGTAAACGTAAGACTTGTCACACAGTGGCGGCGCCAAGGGGTGGTATGGGGGGGGGGGTTAATTACCTCCCCACTTTTGTCGAGACATGGTCTACATATTTCGTCTAAAAACGGATTAAAAAGCACTAGGTAGGGGTAGATTATATTTCCTAAGGAAATTTGACCTGATACAAAGCACTGAAACGAGGGCAATAGGGCGCGGTCTCAAGGGTAACACCCATTACCCTCCCACTCTGCAGCAGCTGGCACCGTCACTGTGTCACATGAATTTTTCTCGTACGTATTTTGAAATCAGGTTCCCTCAACGACAAAGTATACCGAGAGCAGTAGAGGCCTTTTTACCGTGGCTCTATACCTTTAAAAAAAATTTGCTTTGATTCCATTCTTCGATAGCTACTATGAGATTACAACTAAACAACAAGGAAAACCTTGAAAAATTGCTCAGAGGCAGAGTTTATGGCTATCCTATCAGAAATGCAAGAGCTTGAAAAACTCTGCAAAAGCAATTTGCACGCCCCTCGAATATAACATTCCTTCCGTGTCAACATGCGTACATGAAATTCTTTAAAGATCCGATCTTTTCGAAATCTTTTTTGGATTCTGGGTAATCTTAGGAAACTCGAATAGTATACATTGTGAGAAAAATTGCCTAGGAGCCACCGCAAGAAGTCTAAGACTTTCAAGCGATTTTCATTTCCAGAACAGTGTTTAAGACCAAAAAAATTTTTAAATGCATGAAAGGAACGTCCAGTAATTGGAATGGAACTTACTAAGGAGAGCAAGATTTGTTCGAATAATCCAGTTGCCAACTTTTAGTTGTACCAGAGGTCAAGGTGGCTCAAGATTTTCATGAAATTCTCGTATCTTTTGCAAGGTACTTGTGATAAATTCCGTTCCCAATTCCGTGCTGCCAGGGATGGCTGAGTCCCTCCTAATAAAATCCTACACAATAATTGAAAGTATTTTGTTGTATAAAAATCAATATAGAGATAAGAGCAACAAAGGAACATTCAAGTCCCAAATTACCAAAAAATAAGAACGCCAACTCTCAACAAAACGTATCTAGTTCTCATAAAAAGAATGTAGCTTTAAATTAATTGACGTTTCTTTTACCTAGCGTTTTTTAGTTCCTTGGCTGGCACTTTGTAGAAAATGGTGCATTCAAATAGAGCCTAAAAATTGATTTCCATATTAAAACAAAACTTGCTGCAAGAAGACATCCGCTTGCTTTTTCTTTTGAAAAATATCATTCGCATCTTGACATGTATCGACAACATCCATTTAGCTTGATTTGTTATCTATATCAAGTGATATTTCAATGTATATGTATGCTATATTAAATTATACTGTTTCATTATTATGAGCTTTTGAAAATAAACGTTAATAGAAATTATAGTTATAGCCCAAATGAAGCTCATTATTCTACCTACAGCTAAAAACTATTCGAAATAAATTCCTATATGTTTAATTGAATTAGGCACTGCAGTTGAACTTGATTCGTGTTCCCTGTACCGGTTCTTTTACCCTGGGTACCAGACTCACAATATATAAAAAAAGTGAGTCTGGTACCCAGGGTACGGATCTTTCAGATTCTCTACTTCTCTAGCTTTTCCTCAGATCTGTGGCATCGTCAGTAGTATCTGCCATAGATGTAGGTGATAAAAGGGTTTGGAGATCTGCAGCCCCCTAATCAGGCTCCGTTCCGGCAGTTTTATCTCGATGTAGCAATAATATTTTTAGGTAAGATCCATAATACGATCTCCCTAAAGGCCTAAACATTTGACATCTGCTACGCCCAGCGTATTCGATGAGATTGTTTGGTTGCTGTTTGGAAAGAGGTTTTCTGAACATATACCAAGTTAGAGCTGATCGAGTAAATCAGTCATGATAACTGCAACAACAAGGCGTGAAATATCACTATATATGCTGCTCGCGACCCGTTGACCATATCCAGCAGTTGAATTGATGTCTGCTGATGCTATTTAAAAATCTTCTTTGCAGACATGTATAAAGCCAGATAAAGAGCCCGAGGATTATGCAGATAAGGTTCCAATTTATCTTTGTTTTTCTGAGCTTTACGGCTGTGTATGACGTTCTGATATCACCGTGACATCAAAGAAAAGGCAATCCTATTGATCTCTTTTTTTGACAATCGGGTTTAAAAAGATTCATTCGCATAAACAGTTCACCTATTATAGCCAGTTCTAATTCGCTCGAGCAGTCTCTTTATCACATGTGCAAACCTTTAAAAGATTTCACAACCTCGAAAAAACTAAATAATTAGCTCACTGCAGGCAACCAATCGCACATAAACAAGATGTAAAAGCATGGCTTATTGCCCTGTTTGTTCTATATTGTTATTTTCTAAAGACCCCTACCATATCTAAAGAAGCATATCTTACTTTAATAGCACTGAAGTCACAAACATCTGTGGTAGGGCTCTATAGCATTAATAATATTCTTTTAAGACCATTCTATATTACTTGCATTATTATCCATGCTTACGTCACGGGAAGGTTTACACTCATTTTCTCATGAGAGAAAAGGCTCAGATTTCCCAACAGTTATTTCTTGGCACATTAAACCTTTTGCTACACCTGAAATTAGATTATTAATACTATGCAATGAACTGAATGAACTTAAGAATTAACTGATTACAGCAGCGGCATCGTTCCAAAAAGAAAACGAAATAGCAGAAGTGGCATCTTTCCAAAAAACAAAGCAATTGGGTGTCAAATTTTGTGTCGGTAGACCCATTACACTTTGACGTCATTAAAAGATTATTGATTGTGATTTACACAAAAGGGATATCAGCTCGATATATTAAAATTGACGTTGCTCCTTTTCCCAAGTCTATATGACATGGCCGCAAATAACTTTTCTGGGGACTACACCCCACCCCATCTTCGCTTGCTGGAACTGCGTTATTTCCTGGATTAAAGTTCTAGTCATTTCTTATTAAAGACTTTTCTTTAAAGCAGGTTGAAATGGGTAGATGCATATAGACCGCAATCAGGTCTTTAAACTTTGGGCTTTTCTCTAGCTGTTCATCTCATTCTTCTGACCTTGTTGCCACAATCCGAATGTCACCTGGGGCGGATCTTCAAGGTATAAAAACTTTTGTAAAGAACTTTGAAATTTCTTTCCCTTTAAAAATAGAAAGATTAGAGGCTTGGATTTAAGCTGGGATTTCTTGGTAAAATTCTTTGGCAAAACCAACCATGAAATCACCAGGCGTGCAATTGTTGATTTTAGAGAATGTTCAGTTCTCTTTAAAAACAAAGGGTTCTTTCGTCAGGCGAAATTCAGATGAAAGATTTCGATTTTTTTGGTGCTAGTATTGCACACTAAAATAAACAAACTGATACTCCTCTGAAATAATTAGTGTAGAACTAGCAAGAGTGTAGAACTAGTTAGAACTACCATCCCGGACAAAAATAGTTGTGACTTTGCAAGGAAAGTTGACATTTTCTCTTTTCTTTAAAAAATAACTTTTCTCCTCCCCTGATTCAATGTTGAGTGCATGATTTTGAAGGAGAAATGATAAAACTACAAATCCAACATTGATTTGGGGGAAAGGGGGTTCAAAGTTACGGGGCAACGTAAAGTAGAAAATTGCAACAATTGCATTTTATCACAACAATTTTGTCCGGGATTGTAGTAACTTGTATTATTTATTGTGTTATTAAACAGCAGCGTCCAGGTAATAATTGTTAAGATCTATGATCTACCTTTGATCTTTCTTCTGCCTTTACTATGCTCTTCTTTAGATAAAAACTTGATGAATCTATGATCTACCTTTGATCTTTCTTCTGCCTTTACTATGCTCTTCTTTAGATAAAAACCTGATAAATTTAGCCGAGGTTTGAAGTTCTTATTTTACGATAATTTGAGGTTCTGGCTGGTGCTCATAATGTTGTTCTTATCTAGAAATTGATTTTTCTAGAACTACATATTACAAATTGTTTCTAAGACCACCTGGTAAATCAGCTTGCATGAATTTTTTAGTAGAACAGTTAACTTGCTGATAAAATCTTCTCTCTTTTGTTCACATGAGGTAAAATTGCCACATTGTATTTCTCTTCTAACTTCTCACCGAGGGCTGGGAATATTCTTACATCGTTCTTTAGTTTTTTGGCAAATCGGGTCATGGCATAAATGTAATACAAGCAATGACACAGAGGATCTCGGAAACACCGTTTTTTTTAACAAAGATCCGTCATTGTTTACACAGTTGAACAAACAAAGATGGCTTATTTGTTAACTCAATATCAATACTGATGTACGTTTTCACAATTTTTCTAGCTAATTTGACTGACTTTTATTACATCTATATTGTACATGAAGTGTTTTTTATTTTAATTTCATTTGAGGTAGGACTCTATCGCTTTCTGGGTAGACTATCGGATAGCCTCTCGAAGAGATGACCCTTTATACCGAATGATCCCGTGCCATTGCAATTAGGTTGCAGAAAGACACCAACGGTTGAACTAAGATAACACTAGGCGTCTCAGGTGGTTACTATGGCAAGCCACGAAAACACACCAAAAAAAGTCATCCAATTTTGTCTCTAATGATAATTTCATCTTAATTTGCATTTTAACGAGTACTTTACAAAAAGTCACAATATATTACAAAGACGATCGCCAAGCTGTACAGATTATCGGTTGAAATAGAACGTTTTATTGTGTTAACTGCAAATAAACAGCACGTCATTCTCTATCAAAGCATTATCTAAAAGTATAAAATTCTGGTCATAGAGATGGAAAGCCATCTTTTGACAGTTTGTGGTTCCGACTTAACTTCTTTTTCGCCTGGTCGAGTTTTTCCTTGCACGCTGATGTGGTGCGTCTCAGCAGTTCTTTCGCAGAACTTTGTCGTCGAAATCGTTTCAAGTCCTCGGGTTCTTCTTGTTTCTCTAGAGCAACCTCAGGAGAAGACGGCCTGCTATCTGATTCTGAGCCACTCGAATCTAAAACCAGCGTGTCCGCATCGAGAGAGTACGCCCTCGGTCTTGGATGGTAGCTTTTGTCAATGTCCAACAGATTCTCGTCACTTCGTCTAGTGATCATTCGTTTATTAGCGTTTTTATCGTGAGATTTTGATTTTCGATTTTTGCGTGATTTTCGTAAGCTTAATGTCCGTGAAAAACTACCACTCCTCTTTTCTGTTGGTGATCCATTCAACAATGCTTCGTCCATCGACTGGTCCACAAGAAACATATCAAACAGTGAGTGGAAAGCTTTAGATACATCCCTGTTCTCCTTTGCCGAGCTTTCCACAAACTCACAAGTAACGTGTCCATGGCTTACGCTTTTAGCAAAATCAAACCCATCTTCCTTTGACACATTGCGTGTGCTCTCAAGTTCCATTTTGTTTCCAATTAGAACAATTTTGATTTCGCTGCCGTCACATTTAACATTCTTGATATCATCAACCAAGAGTTTGGCCATGGCAAAAGATTTTTTGTCATCAATCGAATAAACAACAACAAAGGCATTTGCTTTAGAAATGGACCAATTCTTCATTGCTGGAAACTCAAAAGTACCAGACGTATCGATTAGTAAACAGACACATGTAGAACCACCATGGTCAAAAACGTGCTGGAAATGGTCTTCGATGGTGGGCTCGTGCTTCTCTGAGAACTCGTTTTCTGTGAATCGTTTTATCAGAGATGTTTTACCAACACGGGAACTTCCGAGAACCGTAATTCGATATTCAAATATATAATTGCTGCGCCGTGCAGAACCACGATCCATGATCATTGAACTTCAAATTCAAGATTCATCCAAATGTACAACAAGATCGTCTGTGGCTAGTCGAAGCAGTGTAGTGCGTCTGAACTGGGTGACAACAATCAACGCAATGGTAGGGGAACAACGAAAGTCGACACGACACGAGATATCAAATCGTAATATTTAAAAGGAAATTCAACCAAGCGGATACAATTTGCATTGAATAGTCTGACTGATCCGAGCGTTAAGCCTCTGTTCTGTGCTCCAATATAGCATCACCAGCCCGGATGAAAACAGATGAATTGGCTTAGCTTTATTTTGTTAATGGTCTTTGCTGCAGCGTGATTCAGTAGCGACACCTTATGAGTCACGAAGCAAACAAACGTTGGTCCTGCCTCTGCGCCACTGCCCAATTTTGGTTAACACAAGTCAAACTCAAACAATGTGCCAGGGTGATTGACAGATCTGCTAAACTGGCAAACATTTTACACCAATAATTTCAATCATCTATGTTATTGTTCCAAGGAATTTCATTAATGCTAAAAATTTTAAGAGACGACTCCGGCTGGAAAGAAACATCTAATGAATTTTACTTCGTTTGTATTAAACCTGAACAGGATTTGCTTATATGGCTTAGTAATAAATCCTTTTTCTTTTTCAACCAACCAATTTCCTTTTTCTTTTTTGAACTTTCCGCTTTAACGAAAAGATTGATGAAAACCCCATGAAAATAGCGTGAATCAGCCTACTCTTGGCCTATATTTTTTCAATGTTCGACACGGAAAAATATCATCTCGATATTCATAGTATTCAATCTACTTAAATTTGTCATCGAAACAGAAAACCCAAGAGTTGAGAAGACAGACTGGGTTAGGGACTTTATCCGTGATGCAATTTGTAGTGTATCGTGGCAACAAAATTGGACTTAACTTGATGAACAAAATTTCTGCCATTCGACAGGAAAAAAGTTAATGAAGTCAGGAATTATGAATATCCGAATCCAATTTATCAAAATATTAGAAATACAGTATACGTCACCTAGTTTACGTCTGCGTTTACGTCTGCGTTACATGGATTTGTTTGATAAGGTATGAGGAGAAGTGAACTGGTAAAAAAAGCTTTGGTCTGAACCGCTGTTTGGCCAAAAAAATTTTATCAAAAAATTTGTGTTTTCATATCCATTTCGTGGCACTTAAAGTGTCAGTACAGGGGCGGAGAGACATAATTTTTACTGAGAAACTGCTGCGGAGATTAAGAGGAACTGCAGAAAATGACTGATGAAATTTCGAACAAAAAGGAAAGCAGGGAAAGAAAGGTGAGCCTAGTGTGCGATCGTACCCCAGCATATCTTGCAACTATGTCGCTGTAATCATGGGCTTTTAAGCGACGTTTTTCTTAACTTTTCATAATTAGATTTTAGTAGAAAGAAAGAACATTCTAGAATAGGCACTGGTTCATATTTCAAGGTCTTACAGAATTTCATTATGCATTCGACTTAAAGGATCCATTAATTTATCGACCAGGTGCAGCCACACCCTCGCATTCCCTCTGGTTACGCATTGCCTGGACTGTATTCTTAAATTTAATGCAATTCAATAACAAAGAATGTAAGGGTTGTGATCGTGGCAACCCCTCAAACTGAGTTCAAATAGCTTGCTTGGTATGTGATCTGTTGTGATGTTATTCAAAGCCAAATATCACTGTGTGATAATTATTAACTAATTATTAAAGGGAGAGGCCAAAGAAAATCCATAGGGCAACGGTGTATTAAAAATTATTGTCCCTTCCCTGAATGTTGTTGTCCCCTCTCTCTCCGCGGGTTACAACTATCGAACAACTCGAGTCCAAACAGGGTGAGGAAAATGAACCCGGGCTGCCCCCATAACGAGGAAAATTATTTTCATTCTATTCCTTTCTTCATCAATTCATTCCAAGGATATAAACACTGATCTATAAAAAAAATGGATCGAGCTTCCTATTTTCTTGAAACACCAAAGTTTAAAGCCCCAAACAATAGCGGGAAGCCGCGGGTTACAACGATATGAATACGCGAGAGCTGCAATGCTGTGTGTATGATTGCTGAACAAAACAGTGAGAGTGAAGGCCGCCTCCTTGGATGGGCTGTTCTTGGGCCCTCGTCTCGGATGGCGACACTCTGATCACAATAGAAGCTCGATCCAGTGTTTTTTATAGATCAGCGGATATAAATTACAATTTAAAATTTGTCTCGCTGCGCCCTACGGTTAAGCAAGGCATTGCCACTAATGCTAACACTATTTACTTTCCCAAAAGAGGTACGAGGAAAACGTTTGTTCAAAAGACCATTTACATCATCGTATCATCAAGGTTTACATTGGGAGTAACTTGAGAACCTAGGACTCCGTTGGCGTCAAAGATTGTTAATTCTAAACTGTATCATATATGGCACTTTTATCTGCAAAAATGACGTAACGCGGGTCAGCACAAATCCAGAAAGCCTTTCAACGTGTAAACAGTCAAATAAGTTACACTTTTTGGGTTTAATTTTTACTAAAGTCTGCACAATACATCAATTATACACAGATTTTCAGTCAATAGGATAACCTTTGGGCTTTTGTGGTTCGGATGACGACCACATCGATAAGGAGCAAGACCCAGATCTACATCAACAGCTCTTATGTCCAAAGACTGTATTCACACTGACATTAAAAAGTACTTTTTGCGTCTAATTGATACGGTCTATTGCATACTGTATTCAACAAAGAACTAGCCCGTGTCCCAGACCCCTAATTCTACTTTGAAGTTAGGGGTCTGGAGCACAGGCTGCAAAGCGCCTGAAACCGACCGGTTTCTTAGGTCGTCTTTTTTCGTATCTGTTAATTTCTAGTTATTACTAGCTTACAATTTACCCCTTGTTTGTTACCTTTGTTTCTTACATTTATTGTTCTTACTTTTGATGTTTCCGAACGTGACAGTTTTTATTTTACTTTATATTCTCTCTAAAATCTCGAAACATACGTATCAGAAACATTGCTCCCAAAAAACTTCCGATGAAGACATTTCATTCATGATTAATAGAAGAATCAAGTTTCCCAGCGGTTTATTATAACAATTTCAAGTTTACAATAACTTTCTTTTGTCCATGTGCACAATTTTCTGTGGCGGTTCTTTACCTTGAACCCCTTATTACTTTGAGACAATCAATGAAAATTTTTTTAATAACACTACTGAAGTAATTGTGGTTTGGTGATCTAGATAAGTGTGCCAACAAGAGGGTTCATTGTAGCTAGGAATCTTGCACCAAATAAATCTGGTTTTGCTAAAATGATTTACCGTTTCAAACAAAGCAGAATCTTCACAGGCGGTGTTCTGGTTTGTCTCACGAAAATGTTGTGCATACACCTTCCAAGCAACTGGCAAACACCGCTTTACTGATCTGACTAGTGTGGGTCTCTCAGGGGTTTTCAGAAACAAGGGAACAAGCAGGAACACGGGAACAAGCAGGAACACGGGAACAAGCAGGAACACGGGAACAAGCAGGAACAAGGGAACAAGCAGGAACACGGGAACAAGCAGGAACACGGGAACAACTTCAATTTTCCACCAGGAACATGGGAACATTATAGCTAGTTTGAGGGCAAAAAGGAAACTCTTTTTATGTTTCAACGGAAACACAGGCACATTGTTTGTTTTTTCAAAGGGAATACAGGGAGACTCTCACTTATGTGATATCCCACCTTTTCCTCATCAAATGTTGACGAAAAGCACTGATAACTCAAAATAGCACTCTGAATAGCAATTGTTGAGAACTGGAAATAATAGAAGGAGTTGATATTCAGGAAAAAGCATGCAAATTGACCAGGGACAAAGATAACTAAACCTAACGATATCAAACTTTAAGACAATAAGCTGATACCCGAAGTAATTCCTTGAATCCATCTTGACCGCAAAATTCTAAGTTAAAAGGATAAAAAATTCTTAAAAAAGAGCACTAGAAATCTCCTTGCAAAGCTTAATCTACCACAAGACAAAACTACACGAAAAAGGAAACCCGTTTTTACTTTTGCAAGAGCTTGTTTTAAACCTGCTGGTCCCCAAACATGATAGCATCGAGGCTGCTGGTATAAGAGGCTGCTGGTATAAGAGGCTGCTGGTATAAGAGGCTGCTGGTATAAGAGGCAGCTTCTTTCCAAGTTTCTTAGCGTGAAATGTAAAAGTCCAATAGAGTTGAAAATATAACAGTAGTAAAGCCTTACACATTCGATAGCAAGTCACATTTTGAGTTTCAAGTACCAAAGTCTAAATTGTGGGCTCTACAACAGTATCTCTCTTTACATAAATTTGTTAACTATAAGTGGTTATTGCCATTTACAGTTGTAAGCATTCAGATTTGTTCGAAAGAAATATCACATGTCGTATTGTATTTCAGTACACTAAAAGAAGCAGGAAGCTGTGGTTTAAGCTGTGGTTTTATACCCTGACTCCCTATTTTGTATGGACGACAATCGAGAAAAACTCTCTGGTTATAGAGTTCTTTATTAATTGGGGTGTGGTGAACTAAATGAATGAATCAACAAGGGCTTATTGAAAACACAAATCAAAGGCCGAGAAAATTTGGCCCTGTCGAAAATTAGATCCAGTTTGAAAGAAATCATGGAAAATGTGTCTAAGTTTATTGAAGGAAATGCGTCGCAGTATCAGGCATTTGATGCAGGCAATAGAGAAATCAAGGCCTGGTGCCAACATTGGAATTCAATCGCCTCACGTGTGTTTATCAGGCACAGCAGAGCGTTAAGAAAAGTCGGGGGTCTAGAAAGTTGGAAGGGGGGCTAAAACCGAACAAATAGTGGTTTGACTGGTGATTCGTCAGTAAATTTTTGCACTTCTTGCAAAAGGGGGGAGGGGGCCTGCCCATCTCCGCGGTTCTTGTTAATGTCTTATGGCAAAATATTACAGAGCAAATTAAGAGCTGACCCTAGACTATAGCATACAGCACAAAATGGTACACAAAGATGACAAAATCCATTCTCATTGCTCGGTTTCCAGCAAAATGTAATGATTGCATCAAAACGTTTGGTTTATTCACTGGTAAAGGTACGACTAAACAAAATGTACCCAACAGTATATGTAGATCAGTCCAGATAAAAGCCCAACACCACTTGACAGATAACACAATGCGGAGGACAATAACCTTTAAGGGCATGATTTAGGTACAGTTTCTAAATTTTGATTGTACTAGGGGTTGTTGTAATTTTCTGGTTAAGGTTAAGGACTCTGATATTTTAAGCGAAGTTCTACTAGCCCTTGAAGCGTATTGTAAGTATTTAATGCTTCCCTCGCCAACTTGATAGCTGAATATACTTCAGCGGAGATTCTTGTCTAAATCTTACTCACCTCCTTCACCTTATCAGCAAATGACTATCAACTATAAAAACTCACAGCACAAATGGTGCGTTAACAAAATGTCAGGGTTCTTGGAAAACGACAGTGCATAGACTAGGCGGAAACGTCTTAATGGAAGCTCGAAGACTACCGATAACCGATATTGATGATTTTGAAAAGATCGATCGTTTTGTAGCCATTGGTGGAGGCGAAGCTATAACTTCGTCCGCCACCTTGAACCACTGTGCGCTGCTCTAGAATTTTGCCAATTTGCAGAAAGACAGAAGCTGTTCACGTGTTTTTCTCTGTGCGCAATTTGATTGGTCAACCGCTGGTGGTCGAGTGGCTGTAAGCCATTTCTACCTGAGTCAAATGCCTTTAAAGTTGATGCAAAAGTGTTATCACTTGTTCATTTAGTTCTGGCAAAATCACCATTTGGAATTGGCAGTAATAGAGAAAATTCTGAACAAACAGCAAGTATATGGTGAATCTCATCCCAAGAAAAATAATTATTACAAAATACATACCAACGACTTGCTAAGCATAAGCTAATTCATCAGAGTAATAGATCAGCTAATAAATAAAAGCATGGGCTTGAATCTTTAGACATAACATGGTCCCAATTTATTGTCCCTTGACTGCCCAATACTGCAATGAATATTACCATAAGCTTCAGCTCCTACAAACAAATGGTAACTCTTAACACATTCCCATTAGGTTGGGCTGTTTATCTGAGAAGGAGTCATCAAAACCAATCATGGGAAATTTTCGCTGTGAGTCCGCGAAAAATATGCGCAGCGCAGATGACGAGATTAGAAAATTATCTGCGAAAAATTCGCTTCGAAAAAAAGTAGAAACCATTCCTACTTTTCCGCTACAAAATTTTTTGAGCTGTAAAAAAAACAATCAGAACAGCATCTGAAGACACCTGACATTTTCTGTTTGGTTCCTGATGGCCTGCGTCTTTCCGCATTCTTTTTCTCACCTACAGAACGTCAATAAAATAGATCGGTAAATATCAATTTCCTGTTCCTCGTCCACAATCCATGTAAGTGGATTCATTTCAGATTATTATTCAAAAATTTGAATTTCAAATTGACGAAAATTGGTTTGAAAGTTTCATTGTTCTACAAGAATTTCTTCAAAACGCTAAAATGTTGGCCGCTTATTTGCCTGCTAAACAGCAACAGTTTCAGTAATGAAAGACTCAAGATCTGTTCGATGAAGATGCACTAACAGGAAATCGCGTGTTTGCGCAAGCTTAGTTGGCGACATTCGAAAGCATTTGAAGAAGTATTCCTGGTCATGTAAACGCAAATATTTTACCGAAAGATGAACTTCCCCTTTCTGAAGACGTTCTGAATAACTAACCCAGCATCGCTTTTTTGCTGTTTTGCTCGCTTTTTCAATAAAATTTACTTTAAAATTTAACCTTTCTGATAACAGCACTCTTCGGGCAGTCGCTATATTCTTCTGCAATATTTACAGCAAACTCGCATAAAAATTTCTGCCAGTGTAAAAATTCGTCTCGTGTAAATCAGGCTTTAAGGGTAACGTCTGGCGAAAAGATCAACACTTCTGGAATCTGCAATAAGCACGTTCTAAAACGCGGTAGTTTGCAAGCGCAGTTTACATCATTTTGGCATTATGAATGTCCGTGGACTGAAAGAACCAATTACGTGACAACAATGCAAAGAAAAAACTGTTTTTAACAAAAAAAATGCCAATCAAAATCTTCGTGTTCGCTGTGATAGCGGGAATTTTCAAATTGATAATGTGTGTATGCTTGCTGTGTATGTGATGTATGTGAATAAGGCATACATGCTATGAATATGACGTGTATGTATATTGAGATACTCACAATAATAGTTGTACTTTTCCACTTACAATTTCGCTGAATCTTGAGTAAGGACTTCATAAGCGGACAGTGTGAGGAATTCATCCATTGACGGAGAAAGAATGAGTTTATTCAAAAGCGTAGCCGCATGGCCAAATTTCTGTTTGTCCTTGCCTCCAAGCTTCTCGAGCTCTTCGCTACAGAACTGGTTGTACAAATCTACAGAAAAGGTCCGTCCGTCATTCAGTTTGGTCTTATGTCGGAGCCATTGCCAAAGCTGGCCGCGAGAGATTTCAGCAGTTGCCGCATCTTCCATCAAGTTATTGATGGCAACAGCACCAACACCCTGTCAACAAGACAACCAATTATACACCATTATTGCATGATATTATACATGAAGTACCCTAGCATTTTTCAGCAAGTCTAAATCAGGACACATCAATTCATATTAGAAAATGAATTTATAAGTTTTGCGTAGCTTTCATTTCTTTTTTCCTTTCCTTGATAATTTTTCAATATCAAAACATCCTTCCGAACAAAAAAAAATGAACATAAAGAATACTGATTTCAAATACTCTATATTGTAGGACAACGTTAAAAGTTATGCTACTTACAGGCATTTTCATAACACGTTAACACTCAAAGATACAAAATCAATTGAATTTATCAAATAAATAATCATTTATTACATATAATAACAATTTGTTATAATATTGGAATTTGAAAAGCTCTGTACCAAGAAAATTGTTAAATACTTGTATTATTTATTTGAAACACAAAATGATTTACGGATAATACAAAATAATACAAAATGAAATACAAATTGAAAAACAAATGTCACGTTTAATATTCAAAACAATCGGCCTAAAAAGAAATCATAACAAAGGACCGTTGATTATGACCCCTGCCTATCGATGAATTTGGTCCCACATGGCTACAGCCCTAGAAACATTTCTGATCTTCACCTATGGCAATTACTGCCTTACCTGTAACCAGCTGTTCAGGTATTGCAATGCGACTGATATGTTCAGCCTCGCCCCAGCTTCAGACACGAACCCATTCTCAACTTTGATAGTGATCAAGTCATCTACGCATACAATGACGTCATCTCTTTTCCTAGTAAGTGAAAAAAACAACACAAATCGTCAAAACTCATACAAAAGTACGGAAAAATAAGATTAAAAACCACAACTTCCACGTCATTTGAAGATTTTAATGATTTTTTCACATGTAACTAAGCTCCTTCATTGCTTCTTAGCTCAGCTTCAGACGAGACTTTCAGTATTCCTAATTTGATTAAAATTTGCGGGGTAGGCAATGAATGAAGGGTTTTTAAAGTTTAAAGTCATATTCAGAGGTAAATTAATCATAAGTTGGTGTAAAAATATTTCTTGAAGCATTGGTAATACACGTAAAACTTGTCAAGTAGATTGTCTGGTCAAATATATTTGAAAGTCTTCTGTCTAAAATGGATGGTAATTAGGAACCTATTCATAATAAAACGAGCAAAAACATGAAGATGAATCAACGAATAAGATGAGCATGGTGCTTATAATAACAGTCAAATAAAACACGACCTGCTTGATAAAAGAGCGTAACCCCCCCCCCTCCCTCTCCCCTCTGAGATTTTTTAATTGATCAAGTGGCAGTGAATAATTAATAAATTTGGTGGTCATTCTCCTCTTGCTTGATAAGCAAAGAATCAAAATATGTTTTAGTATGGCTGTTTTTGGGTTGCTAAGTAACAAAAAATTTCATAATAAGAGAGATGCGCTTTCAAACATTTCTCTGACGAGCAAAATCGTGTAACAAAGTATCTTTGAAACACTGAATGTGAAACAAGATACCATTTATTACTGGGTGGCTATCAACGAGTACTTAAAATGCATTTAACCACCTAATGTGAAACATCATACGCCATCTTTGTGGTTTGTTATACTGACGGTGACTACTCGATCATATGAAAGAAAATAGCAGACGGTATCCAACAGGATTAGCTTCAGCTTGCAGGTCAACATTTAAGACTCTAAAGATAAAAATGCTTGAAATCCTTGACGACCAAGTTTTAATAATGCAGAGATTATAAAGATATATCAGGGTATTAGCGAGTTATGAGGTTGAGATGTAGCAAAAGAATAGTGCCAAAACAACAGAAATATACAAAGTTACGAAAGATCCAATAACGAGAAGATCAATTGGCAATGTTTCTTCTTTATAATTGCATTTAATGTTCTTTCTGACATAATAACTTGAGGTTAAAGGTTAGAATTTCAGCTCTGGGTTTTCTTACGACTGGGCTTGGCTTACGCATTAACATGTTATTTATAATTTGACATCAAAATAAAATTTAATAAGAACGGGAGTGGATCATTTGAGAAGGGATATTAACTTTTTGTCACTAGCAGCTGCTTCAAAAGAAACTAATCAAATAGAATAGAAAAAAAATTAAAACACGTCAAGTGTATTGGAGAACTGGATTAGCCTACCAAACAATTATGGACAAGAACGTTGAAAAATTCAATTTACAAAGTAGCAAATTGTGTTCCGCAAAATCTTTTCCATATTTTAATAGATTTTTCTATTAAAGAAAATCATTTCACCGGAGAATACAGGATCGAAAAACAATTTTCTGAAGCTATGACAACTATATGAGTTTCAATCTTAATTAATTTGGGAGCAGCTCGGTAATGAAATGTGACATTGCAAAATCAAGATATTCCAAAAATGAGTGGCAGTATAAAACTATCGGAGCATATATTAATAACTTACTTTTCAATTTGGTTGTCTTTTCCGTTGAGTCCTTTGACGAATATATCTCTAGCTAATTTAACCAAGTCTGGATGTGCGACCCAAGTTCCATCAAAGCCATCAACGACTTCTCTCTCTTTGTCCGTAGTCACTTGTTCGATGGCGATTCTATTCACTTCTGGGTCGCGTCTGCTAGGAATAAACGCCGACATTCCACCCATTGCGCTAGCACCATGCGAGTGGCAAACTTTCACGAGGCGATCGGTGTATGCCTTCATAAATGGTACGGTCATAGTCACCTAAAAAGTAATATTTTCGATTGCAAACACTACAAAGCGAAAAATTCCCCTTATAATACTGCTCAACTTGCCCCATGATTGAATGATTTCAATAGTTTGACAATAATAGTTTGACAATAAGACTTTTACAGCTTGCGCTGTTGATTTGATAGGCGCTGAAAGTATATGCTTGTTGCTTACAGTCACAAATTTTGAGGCAACATTTTGCGTTAGCATTAACAAAGTGAGTTATACTTTATTCTTTTGCACAAGCTTCAATGGCGGTAGTGGGTCGAAGAAGAATCACATTTACGAAATGTCAAAATTTCCTTCGAACAGAACTTCTGCCAAGATCATAAATAAGTGGGTGTATGAAATATAGAAAATAGTTGTGAATGAAAGCGATTGACGAATTTTCCACTTCAAAGAAAATGCAAACAATGGAGAGCAATGGTCAAACAGAATCCACAATCCTTGCCAAAAATAGTTGGAACGCCTTCCACTGACGGCATGCAAACAGACAAAGCAAGTCTGAAACTCTCTTACCAATATAACACTGTTGCTTCCAAAATTTTGACCCTGTTGATCATTTTCTCACAAACGCACAATGTTGATCATTTTCTCAAAACCTTCGTACAGCTTTCCTTGAAAACATTTTTACCTTCAGCATCACAACAAGTGTGGAAACAATTCAGACAAGGATTGTTTTGGGTTGTCGTGAAACACAGCAGAGCATAAGAGATTGGAATAACGGATAGAACAGAACAAAATAGAAAGATAGCGTGAAACGGACTTCTAGAACGCGGCTTCATACAACTGGGAAATAACTGATCCGGGGAGAAACTATCGAAATAGACTAAGAGAGAATTTTTCCTAAAAAATAGCACACTTCTGCAGAATACTTCTGAAGAAGAACAAATTAAAGAAAGCAGGTGATGTTATTAATTCTTGTGATTGATTACCATGAGAACGCTGTTGAGGGAGGTAAAAGGAAACGACAGATTTTTTAGGAGACAAGCCACCAACGGATCTCAGATTCTTCAAATGCCATGATTACTGAATATAGCATTATAGTAACAAATCAACAAATTCATTAAATGCCTATGGTTGAAAAAGGAAAACGGGACTTAACAGTTCTTCTTTCATGATTAGTGGCTTAAGAAGGTTGACAATGGCTAAACGATCAGCAAAAATCCTATTCTAATTGCCTCTAATAACAGTTTTACAAGTGTTCAATGCACCATTTTGCTTTATTTGCTGCCGTTTTGTCATCCATTAAGCAATATACACTCTTGTACGACCATATGGATATGCAAATCTTGCAAATGATGTTGTGCTGAATGGCGATAAGAATTTTTCAAACCATCTCAATAGAAGCATCCTTGAGTTAACGATACGTTTTATACATTGTACTCGTCGCTTTGAATAAAGCATCTCGTCCCCTTCTCTCCCCCCTAGTAAGCCCACAATTATTTAGTTAACTATCACATGTAAAATCTGTCTCAAATTGAGTATGAGGTGAGATCTGTAATAACACAAAAATTACTTTAACTGCAGCAAACATCTTGTCTGCTGTTATTCGCCAACATTTTTCGCCTGGTATCTAATTTGAGAGAGTGTAGTGTTCTTTGTTTTTTCCTTTGGTAATTCATGTGCAAGTTATCCGTGATGCCACGGAGTTGCACCCAGTGGCATCGTCCTTGTAGTGTTGTTAAGTATTTTGTAGTTAGTGTAACTAGTTAAGTTTTATTGTAAATTTTTACTTGAATGTAAAAAATCCATTAAGCAGCACCAAAAACGAGGCATATCTGTTATCATAACCAAAGAAGCTTATTCTCTTTCGGCTTGAAATGTAGGAAATACTTAAAAGTTTCCTTTATCGTTGTAATTGTTATGGAAACAAGTATCTATGATTTCGAAGAGTACGCAATATTTCGTCGAACATTCATCATTACCTTGGAAACACGATAGAGCGAGAAATATCTGCACGAGTCAAACACAACATCTAAATTGTGTATTTTCTAATTTTTTATTCTGCTAACTCGCATTACGATCTGGTCTTTTAAAAAATGTAGTGAACGCATTTTTCTGCCTTCCTTTATTGTACTCTCCATTACCTCCATTTCAATCATCTTTCAATGACTATCTTTCAATTTCTATCAACTTCAGTTTCCAACACTTTGAAGAATCCCCTTTCCTTAAGAAGTGCACTGTTTTAAACATTAAAAAAGTGTTCCTTTCTTGAAAAAATAGCGCTACAATCTACTGTGCCCTGATTAAAAGGGACCAGAGAAGCGTTAAAGGTCTGTAGTAAGTGCAATTCGTTTACAATCCGCAATCTTTCAAGGTTGTAGAATGCTTGACCAACATTGGTCATTGACTTATGCCAATGTCAGGGCATTTTATTTATAGCAAACAAATTAGGCAGTACACAAACACTCACTAGTTTGCGATCTGGGAAGACTGCTTCAGGTTTGCTTTGTAGCCTTTTGATGGCGCTGAAGATGTAATCCCATCGACCAGCATTCATTCCACAAGCGTAATCTCTTAATTCGTAAAGCATTTCCTCCATTTCGACAGCCGCGAGTAATGTCTCTACCATAATTGTCGCTCGTATCGTCCCTGAAATAGTTATAATACTCAATAAACGTCTGATCTGGTTTGATTTATCAGGTCAAAAATGCTTAAACATAACTACAATGCCTGCCAAAAGTACTTGGGACACCCAGCAATTTACGCTGCATTTGATATCTTTCATTCCTTTCATGAAGAAAAAATTACTACTTCTGCTCTTTTCCCCCTAAAACAATGTTGATAATTTAGTGAAATATCATAAAAGAAGCGCAAAAGAAAGTGCTTCCTAAAATCCTAACCTGTTTGATAGCAAACCAACATTGTTCTGTAGGGGAGAGGGGGTGATTGATTTTGACCTTGGAAATTGGCGTTAGTGTTCCAAGACTTTTGGCAGGCACTGTACCTGGATTTTAAACAAAACAATGCCAAGTTATGAACTCATCAGCTGATAAAAGACATCCATGCTTTTAAAAAAGGTACGAAAAGCCGTATAGGTTTTTGTTAAAAACGGAAACCATATTTCCCTTAATAAACCCAGCAGCTTTTTAAAACTTTGAAGAATTCGATTCATCTTAGATTTTTGTTCTTTGCTAATGTTGTTGTATCTTAAAGCCTTGGCAGAGTTTTTAATCGTTTTTATCAAATCTTCCTTCTACATCTCACAAGAAGAAGAAATAAAAGCAATTGCTTTCCAAAAGGCACCAACCGTGGTTGCAAGACTCTAATGGGAGTATGGAAGTAATCAAATGGAAGTAAGCTAACAATAAAAGCTGTAAGTGTTGTGCAAAAGAATCAATTCCATGAAAATTTGAAAGCTTTGAACTCCTTTTTCCTACCTCATTTCTCATGTTTTTGTTACTTTTCTTGCTAATTCATTTTTTGTATTAATCCTTAAGCTAATGGTTTGTCTCTGCCATTGAAACAGGGAGCTGAAAAACACTTGTTCTGATATTCTGTGCAGCTTTAACTTACCTGCCAATGTTCTATAATTTCCATAACAAAGACATTGATAGCAAATGACAGATCCATCACTATTTTAGAAGCTGTAATTTACGACACTTACAGCTTCTTCCAGTGACTTGAGATTAAAAGGATTTTCTATCCTGCAATGCAGTCTAGCAGTAATTTGAATGTAAAAAGCTTTATAAAATACAGCAGGTCCTTCATAAATTGAATGTTCAAAAGAATCATATTAACGATTTTGCTGCTTTACAAGTTTACTGAGAAAGATTGGATACAAACCTCTTTTAACTTTCATATAATCCTCTGCAAATTGGAAAATTTCGTTCCACAATCTGCACTCAAATCTGCTTTCCATTTTGGGAAGATAAAAATAAGGTGCTGTCCCATTTGCCAATCGAACTGCCACGTTGTGAAAAAAGTACAGGCCAAAATCAACAAGTGCACCAGCCATTGGTTTATCATCACAGATTATATGTTTCTCGTCTAGATGCCAGCCACGGACTCTTACCAGCAAACAGGCAGTTTGATCTTTCAGCTTACGTATTGAGCCTGATTGGTAAACAAGAAGGTTAGGCTTTAAAGAAGCTCTACAACACAATAGCGTTATTCTATGTACTTGTAAAATAGCTTAAATCTAAATTTACACTCACTTTGTATAGATTATGAACCAATTATGGCATTGAGTGTACTAGGCTTGCTTTTTTATGCACTTTTTATGAAAGCGTGTGAAAGAAAATTTAGCAACCAAGCATGAAACTTACTATGAAAGCATCAATTTGGTTCATATTCAAGTGCTGATACTCGTTAGCACATTTTGACACAAAATCTTCAACACCCCACAAAATTCCTGATGAAGCATTATTAGCAAAAATTTTAATAAAACAATGGTATACAGAAATGCATTGCATACTTACCATCTGGGTTTTTGAATTCTATGGTTCTCTTGTTTGCAGCCAACATGTTAATCTGACCTTCAATAGAATTTTTCCATGTAGGAGACAAAGAGTCTTCAAAATCTGCCATGAACATGTCAGAACCACTGTTTAGTGCATTGATAACCATTTTTCTATCAGTTGGGCCTGTTATTTCTACATGTCTTCTTTGAAGATCTTGAGGTATAGGTGCAACAGACCATGATAGACAATGGTCAGCAACTGGGAACTGAAATTGAAACAAGGGATATACCTTCAAACAATTTTTTGATGGTATAACATTTGAAAATGGCTTTGAAAAAAGCAAACATTTTTCTACATCACAAAAGCTTTTTTGACTGGCACCATTAATCAGAGTATAAAACATCAGAATAAGGGAATGAAAAGCCGCTATTGTGTAGACAGAAGGAGCAACTGGGCATTTATTTTCCACCTTCTTCATTAGGACCCTCATTCTGACACTCAATACTCTAAGAAGTATCAGACGAAATAGCTTGTTAGTATGTGGATATACATTCATTTAAATTTATTCCTTTAAGGATATCTTCTTGCCTGCATTTGTAAGTATAAGTTATTGAATGGCATTATGAAGTTCTTAAGCCTTTTCCATTAAAACCTTGTATTTGTAAATCCTTAGAAAAAATACTGCAGTGTCTATAAACACCAGCTGTAAACTAACCTTTATTGGCTGACCAGCATCAATCTGCTTCTGCAGGGTTTCCCGAGCAGCCATTAAAGACCTTCTTGTGCCATCAAACTTTCTGTGAAGCTGAGCAAGAAATTCTAAAGCATCATATGTCAATATGGTGTCAAATCCACCATGCATAGGTCCAATGACACTCAATCCTGTGTAGGAAATAAGAAGCATAAATATTCAAAGGGCAAAAATATTCATTAGGATTTGAGACTCAACCATCATCTGAAACAATTTAGACGCTATCAGTGTTTATGAAATTTTTCAGACCTAATGATCTTCTAATCCAATGACGACAACATCAACAATCTAGTGCCTTGGTCATCTTGATCATCTAAGGTCAGCAAAATTTAACTCGCCTTAAAAAATCTTTAGCTTAACAATGCAGTTGTGATTGATTTCTCAGCAAAGCAAATTTTTATAGCTTATGGAAATAGCTTCTTATCGACAAAATTGGCTGTAATTTGAACCATGAAAAGATCCATTTCGCACAAAGTATGGGATGCTTATAAAACACACATAACTTTTATTTTATTGAAGGCAAGGCATTGGGATTCTTTTCTTTTTTTAACATAGAAGAGATACGAAAGCTGCAAGATGTCTACTTCCAAAATAATTGTTGCTTATTAATTTTTGTACAAAAATTCACTGCTTGTTACCAAAATGTTGTAGAATTTGCATGAAAATTCAAGGAGAAATCTCAACAAAACCAGAGATCATGAGGACAAATAATAAGTGAGAAAATTTATCAAAAATGTAGGTTTGTGACTGTTAGAAACAGAAAACCCACTGTCTCAATTCTTTTAACCTATTCCTCCACTTGTTCCAAACCCTCACGTTATTACCATATGGAACCATTTCCAGCTCTAGAAATCGTTCCAGCCCCTAATTATTATCAAATTATACCATCTCAAACATCCTGATTATTCTCATCCATTACCTCTTTTCTAGGTACTCAAGAGTAAGAAAATCAAATCAAAAAAGAAAAGCTAGCCCTAATTGCATCCAGAATTAAAAGGGTTATTAATATATGGAAAATTCAAGCAAGTGATCTTTAAAAGTGAATTCACAGCTTTCTTTCATTTCAAGTCAATGGTATTTTATCTTCTTATCAACAGTCGCCTCAGAATGCCTTTCTTCAATTTCAAGTGTTAAGGCAAGTTTACACAAGGTTGCATTTAGTTGGTAGTTGTTTCAGGTCTAGTAGCTTCAGTGCTATTGACTTGCTACATAAACCACAGTATAGATAAACGCAAACAAAACAAATATTGAATAATCACCAAAGGATTGCCAAAAAATTGTATGGCAGAGGATTGCCAAAAGTAACCTATGAGGAGCTTAAGGCTGCAAAAAGTATCGGGACCCAGAAATTTTTTCGACTTGGCAGAAAAATTTCAGCAAAACTTGAAAAATAAACAGCTGTTTTGCATTTTCATAAAAGATCAAAAGTCTATACAAATTTGAGCTCAATGTTCACAGGTTGTAAATTGCACCACATAAAGAAATTTTGCATTTTTGAAACCTTTATAAAAACTATCATCACCAAAAAATTGTATAACTTGGAAGCAACCTTCAGTTTCCTTGTTCAGGATCTTTTTAACAGACAAATCTGCAAGTAAGCAGTTTATGTGCTTTGAAAAATGCTGTTTTAGTTGCCTTATACCAGGCTAAGCTTTTCGATCTTTAAAGATTAAAAGCTATGATGAAAAAGCTAGTCTTGATTGAGGTCTTGATAGACTTGGCAAAGTGTTGAGTCTGGCTGATAAGTAAAAACAGGTAACCAGATTCATCTTCCCTAAAGCTGACATCTGTTACCTTCCCAAATATCAGGTAATTGTGGAGAACACAATCAAGTTTTCCCGCCAGTCAATGAAATAACACTATTTGCTCCACAAATCACTTTTACTTCTTTTGCATGGTCAATTTTTGCCAAAGACAAAAAAGATGCATATAACAACCAAATTACGACATTTCATTGGAAATATTCTCTAGACCCAATAGATTAGAAGACCTTGCATAAAATTTTTTGCGTACTACTGGTACACAATACTTTTACCTCACAGAAAATTTGTTCCTATTTCAAGGTTCCAAGAACGAAAAATATTGTTTGCAGCTCTGGAGGCGCTCATTGTTCCTTTCTAAGACAGCAATTAACATGTTACAAAAAATATTTGCACAAAGTTCCTGTCTCTATATTTATCTGATTTTGTGCTATAGAGGCACAGGTTACTCTAAAAATTTTTAACCAGTGGATTTTCTGTCTTAGATGACCATTCAAACTTACTTGACTTTGCCCTTTGATGAGTAAAAATAACAAGATATGATATTTTGCAGTATTCTAGTTAGCCAGTGATGTGCAACCTAATGCAACTTCAGTTGAAGATAAGATTTTTATCTGAAATTAGTTGCAGATTGCAGTTGGTTGCAGTAGGTTGTAAAATGGAAGTTCCGCCTGTTGTTTGCTTATTTACACATGCAACCATTGCTCTTATGATATTTGTGCAACAGCCATGCTTGACAAACTCATACATTCATATCTGTGAACAATATATAAAACATACCTTTGGGAAGTGCCATGTTGCTTTCTCAAGTGACAAAATACAGCCAAATGGAGAGAAGATTGCTACAATAAACCCATGACATATTTCAATAAGTTATCAGTGCAATGAAGTCAAAAAATTAACAGAAATTAATTTCTGCATACTTCAAGAACATATTTAAAATGTTTTAATGTTTTAACCCTAGCTGGTGAAATGTATCATATTAGGGAAATGAACAAGTCAAATTATTGTGAGACAACCCTTGTCCTTGAGTAAAAAGCAACTGTACTGATTCAATTGAGGCCATTTTATACAATCTATCATTGCTCTTTCTGCATACCTACGTAATAGCCATCAAGTCCATCATTTAATTAAATTTGCCAGTTTTCTATGTCAATACACACTTTTGTAAATAATAGTCAGTCAGTAGAAATCAGGTTACACACTGCACAAACAGTTTGCATCTCTCTAGCTCCGTGTCCTCTACAAAAATGTGCTGTTCCTGGTTGGAACAGCACATTTTTCGTTTAATGAACATTTTAGTCGATCATTGACCGATGTTCCAATGAACACTAAACATGTTGTATTAAAACAAATGTTTTGAATATATAACCCACTCAGGTCTTGAGGGAATTAATTTTTGCAAGAACTATTATTTTTGTGGAATTATTTTATAAATTTCGTTTGATATCAACTTTTGCAGATGGAACAGATTTGAATAATTCATATGACTTTTTTTGAAAAACTTGTGATTTCCAATATTCATGGTTGGAATGTCTGACTGTCACTGGCTGCAAGTTCAAGAAAGTATATCAAATTATTCTTGTTGAATAGCACTTACCCCAAGTATGCCCCATTCTTAATATAACCCTGAATAAGCAAATGTCTTTTGCTTAACTTTGACAGGATAGTCTGATGTTTTAAAAGGGAGCTTGGTAGAGCAGAATTTCCCTACATAAAAGTTAAGTTTATTTTCCAAACATTACATGTTTGAAGTGGTTTTCCCCATTTAAGGACAAGATCCCGTTGGTTTGCTTTGCTCCTCCATGACATAAAAAATATAAAAACTGCTTTCTTTATCTAAGGAAATGCAATTTTCTTTTGAAAAATAAAATGTGAATTATAGATTTGTCCATCTAAGGGGTGTGGCAATTTACTCATTGTTTGCAAAAGTCTGCAAAAAACAAAGATAAACACACCCACATATCGACATAGGTTACAGGTCACTTTCTACAAAGTAATTAAAACCGTCATTGGAGGACCGTCACCCTCATGCACTGACATTGCCAAAAGGAAGCTTCTTTGTTTCCAAGTTTCTTCCTGCACGTGCAATACCCCTGTTATGTGTTGGCCAATAATTTCCATGGTGTAAGAGATTATGCAGCCACAAGAATAGGTTCATTATAGGTACGATAAATTGAAGTATAATTCTAAGATGCAATAAAGCCTTCTGCACCTACCTTGATCTCTGACTTCTTCTTAACACTGAAACCTGTTGTTCGATGGCACAGGGATGTGAATGGACAACAGAAGAAAATTCGGCAGCAGATACTTGATGTATGTGACATGAAACGTGTTCTGACCTTTGTACCCAACAAACGTGCCAACATTCATGATCATTTCCGGTTCAAAGTCCAGAACTGTGGAAAACTCTTTTTCAATGGGAACGTGATTGTGTACAAGTAATTTCACGAGTGAAATCAAAAGATTTGCGTCATCTCGGCGTATTTGTTTGGTAGCCACGCCAGCAAGAGTGCGTAGCATTTTGATCGTAGAGCTCTTTCAGCCACTTCTTCAACTTCTTCATCATGGCATTTTATCCAAGATTTCACGGTGTCAAGAGAGACTACACCCAGAATGATGTAGAAAAGTTGAAGGGAACTTTCTATCCAAACTGCAACTTGGCTAAAGATGGAGCTGAAAAACTATGGTCTATGGTTTCTAGAGGGGAAAACACTTACGTTCAGGCAATGGGTGCTATGACCGGTTAGTTGCAAATACTATCACTTTGTTTTGGTCAAATTAAACATGAAACATCAATGAAAAACTTCACAGCAAACTTTGCTTTGTTTTTAACTAGGGTTTTAGACGAAGAACTTGGTATTTGTGTTTAATAAATCATTTGTATAACAGCCAGAACTGCGATTTTCCTTAGACACAATCTTCATTTTCGCCTAGAGGTGTCATAGTCTTCACACTTCATGCTCTTTTAAATACATTGATATAATATAAAGCGATATACGAATAGTAAATTTCATAAGACATTGGATTGATGGATCCTTTTATGATTAAACACACCCCCCCCCCTTTCTTTTTTTACGTTCGATATTATTTGAAAGGAACTTTGTGGGTGTGTTAGTGGGTTGGTCATTGCTCCGTAGTGGCACTATATAAGCGACGCAGCTTGATCACCTTTTCAGCTTTCGTTCATGTTTTAATTTCCCTTCATGCACATGTCATACCGATAAAAAATTATAAAGTTATTTAGAAACTGTTTGTTAGCCAAGAAACATTATTTGAAGATTGTACCTTACAAACACCGTGTTATCAAAATGAATGGCCTAAATCATCATGGGAGGTAACAAAAACAAAGTCAAACTCCTTCGTTGATAGCGTGTTACAAACAAATTCCCATATGTGTAACAAAAAGACAGTACGACGTGTGAGCTTGCAGTTGTATTTTTTCTGCTATTCAGATGATTTTCCAGGTGTGACGCCATAAGTTATGGACCGCAATCAGACGCAAGTGAAAGACTGGAACCACTCTGTCTTGTGCGCAAACTTAACCATTTGGAAGAAAACCTTGATAAGACTTCTTCCTTTCTTTCTGTATCTGGTTGTAAAGCAAGGAAAACCTTACTTCGAAAAACTGCCCTACTCGTCAGTCCTGAGCATGGAAACAAAGTCGAAGGTCAAAAGGCTATAACTGTTTTGTTGAACAATGCTCGAGGACGGGGGCGTGCCAATTTGAAACATGAAAGCCCTAAAATTAACAAATTTCCAAAAAAACCTAGCCCAAAAGTCAGATCCCATATAAAATGCATAGCCTTAAATTAAATTCAAATTTGAATATTTAGTGCAGGCCCATAATTGAAAAAAAAATCCAACAACTCAATCAAGTAAATGAAAAATAACCCCTTTCATTTTAAAGTTTGCCCCAAAATTTAAGGTCATGCTGAGAATCAATCCCAAAAGTTGTGAACATGTTTGATTTTGCCAAAATTGAAAGCAAATAAATTTATTCTCAACTTGGAAAAGGTACCCCTAAAAGTGGCACATCCCATATCGGTTGGTGTATGTGAGAGTTACCCCTGTGGGCTATTTCAGAGCAAACCTTGTTTAACCTGCCTAGCTTGATATCAACAGGAATTTTTTCAAGGTAAGGAGTAATTATTGAAAAATACTCTAACGTTTAATTCTGATGCAATTTAATACATTATTATAACATGATTTCACTGCATTTAAATTTAATGTTCTTTATGATGTATAGGTGGGCAGGCAGTTCAAATGGCAAAAGCAGGACTCAGTGCAATTTACTGCAGTGGTTGGCAAGTTGCTGCTGACAACAACAGTGCTCTTCAGACATTCCCAGATCAAAGTCTCTATCCAGCTGACTCATGCCCAAAAATGGTTCAGAGAATCAACAATGCATTGATGAGAGCAGACCAAATTGCTCACATGGAGGGCAATAAGACAATCAATTATCAACTGCCAATTGTAGCTGATGCAGAGGCTGGGTTCGGTGGGGCCTTGAATGCTTTTGAGCTTACCAAAAACATGGTGAGTTCACACACAGTTTTATTGAATTTTTTTGTACTGACTATCAAGTGTTAAATGCTGTTACTTCGATGAAAAGCAAACATGGCTTAGACTTCCACTCAAGGAATTTTCAGGTCCGGTTTGATACCAAAATGGCTAGCCGCCCTTTATTTGCAGAAAAGTTTGAAAATTTGCTGACAAAGCACCCCTATATGGCAAAAAAGCCATAGTTTTTTAAAAGTGTCTTTGTGTGTTACAGAGGTGTTACAGGTCCCAAAAAACCATTCACAAATCTTTGAAATGCCAGATAGTTTCTGCAATCATGAAACACAAGACATCCATTCATATTTCCCTTTCTTTGGGGGATTCCACAAAGAATATGGGTTATATTAGGCATCATATGCCCTAAGTTTTTATTGATAATCAAAAACAAGTTTTTTTCATAAAGCATGAGTTTCTTTATCTTTTGTGAGCTATTCTTTTGATGTTTCAAAATCTTTATTGATTAAATGAGATGTAACCATGCTCACAAATACTTTGCTATGCCTAAATTCTGTGTAATTGCCAAGTCATTTGTGCCACTTTGATATATGTTCAGTAATTTTTTTCATATGTTTATAAACCATTTTATTTTCAAAGATTTTTGCTGGAGCTGCAGGTGTTCATTTTGAAGATCAGCTTGCTTCAGCAAAGAAATGTGGACATCTGGGTGGAAAGGTCCTTGTTCCAACCAAACAGTTTATCAAAACACTAAATGCTGCCAGGCTAGCTGCAGATGTGCTAGATGTTCCAACGGTTATAATTGCCCGTACAGATGCAAATGCTGCTGCCATGGTAACATCTGATATAGACCCGAAAGACAAACCATTCTTGACAGGAAAGCGCTCTCCTGAAGGTTTCTTCTATTCAAAACCTGGCCTAGACCAAGCAATTGCCAGAGCTTTGTCATATGCTCCATACTGTGATATGCTTTGGTGTGAAACATCAAAACCAGATTTAAATGAAGCCAGACGGTTTGCTGCAGCAGTGCATGCCAAATTCCCTGGCAAACCACTTGCATACAATTGCTCACCATCATTCAACTGGAGGTCACATCTCTCTGAAAAAGAGTGCTTTGAATTCCAGAGGGAAATTGCCAAGTGTGGCTATCGCTTCCAATTTGTCACTCTTGCTGGCTTCCACTCTCTCAACCATGGAATGTTCAAGTTGGCTCGTGATTACAAGCACCGTGGCATGGCTGCCTATGCAGAATTGCAACAAGATGAATTTAGACTTGAATCTCAAGGTTTCACAGCCCATAAGCATCAACGTGAAGTTGGTACTGGCTATTTTGATAAGATCTCGGTTGCAGTTGGAGGTGGCTCTAGCTCACTTACTGCTTTAACTGGGTCAACAGAAGAGCAGCAATTTAAGTCAAAACTTTAATTCATAAGTTTTTAGCTAGTTACAATTAATTTCTTCATGCTGAAGTCAAAAACAAAGAAAAAACTTTAAATATTTGTTGTTTTTAATCTTAATCTAACATATTATCAGGTAAAGGGTTTATTGCTTTATCATTATTGTCTAACCTATTTTATTGCCCACCGGGGATGTGCAGTACCCCTCATAATGCAGGGTCCATTTTAACTGGGTCAATATTTCACAGCCCTAAGTTTTAATCTAGATACTGCAGCTTTTTTGGGTTAACTTTTTTGCTTATGAAAACACAACAGCTTCATTTGATATCTATATTTTTCTAACTGCCAAAATATTTCTTCTCTAAGAATTTACAGATCATGATAACAGTTCAATAAATGCAAAAGACCAGCAGATTGACCGATGGACCCCTGTTATGAGGAGTATTGGGGGATTAATTTATATATTCTTGTATTTGTATAACACTAAGGGCTTGGCTTAACTATTCTTTTTATTTAGTTGTATACTGCTTGATAAAAAATATTGAGTATTCGTAAAACAGACATGTCAAAACAGATGTCCTGTCTATTGCACTCGTTTTACGTCTTCACTTCAGACTACATGACCAAGAAACTACAAACCCATTCAGATAAAAAATTCTTTATTGGATAAGTTAAAAAAATACTAGAAAAGTATTTTAAACATGAAAAAAGTTTTGTATTTCGTCATACTAGCAAACTTATTAAAGGTGCTTAGATCGTGCAAAGTCTATTGAAAATATCAAGAAGCGGAATTATTATACGCCTGGCTAGGGGGGGGGAGGCTTGTGAAAACTTGCCTTGGCGGTTTCATGAAGACAGGCAAGGCTTAAAAAGAAACTTGGACAAACATGTCAGATTTTAGAAAGTGGTGATTAGTATTCAGAGAGTGAGGGAAATGTTTGTAAGCACGCAAAAACATACAATACAAATCTTTATTTTAAATGCATGCATGCAAAAGAGAATAGATGGATTTTCTTTGTAGATCATTGAAAATGTGTTCAAGAACCAAAACAAAGTCTTCCAGAATGCATCATTACGTAGATATTTTCTAGGATTGGGCTTGAGTTGGGAAAAAAATCAATTTTTTTCAAAATGGAAAACAGTATAGTGAAAGTAAAAGGAAATGAGTGTCGTATATAAGAATACATAGAAAAAACACCGGAAAATGGTGAGAGATAGAAAATAGTTAAACGTCCCAGAACGCTGTTGGTAAGAAAGAGAGAGGTTTAAAAAGTTTCAGGATTGGCACTAACTTGATTTTGAGCTTTCGTCGACAACAGAGACTCGAGAAAAACCAGTTTGTCTGGATCTTTATCGATGAAGGTCTTATCTTTATTGAATTGAATTGAATTGTTATGATAAACACTACGAGCGACGTCGATCATTATCAACATCGAACATCATAATCAATTAATCATCAACTTCAACCAACTATCATCAGGTTGAACAACCATATAATCTATCGTCGATGATGGTGACAACCATAGTATTCCCAAGGTTTAATATGCCAAAGAAAAATTTTCAGCTACAGAACAGTAATTATCAAAGTTTAGCGAGGTTGGCAAAACTTGACTAAACTTTTCATTAAACTTGAAGAAGTTAAATGTTGAAGACAGTAGCCCACAACAAGATGCTGCAGATGTGTCACGAAGACTTTTTTAGGGATTTTAGGTCACAGAGGCAGGAAAAACCTTTTGAAACCAAACCAGCTACTGCGCCTGCTCTACCACAATAAATGTGTAATTGGCGGCAAAACGCTCAAACAATTGCAAAACAAAACGAAACAGCGCTTAATATTTTTGTCCAAGATAAAACTTTGCCAAACAGCAATAAACATGACTAAATGACACTAAACAAGGTGGAAAACGACTTTATTTTCCGCTAAACATGTCACTAGACTAATAATGAGTGAAAGGTTTTGTCGTTTCTGTGTTGTCAAAATAACAAAGGGTGTTATCCATTCATTTTTAATTTTAGCTTTTGCATTCACCTCCCCTTTTGTAATTTTTAGACATGAAGAAGTGTTTGCTATTCATTCGAAATATTTTTATCACAATTTTTGAGAGAAACTAAGATCTTGTCACAATAGGCTATTATATGAAGAAGTCAAACAATTACGAAGAGTATTATATTCGTCTTGAAATTTATAAGTAAAAGATAACACGTCAAACTTCCCTCTGTAACATAGGAACTGAGGAAAGACTGAAGTTGGATTCGAAAAGAAATTTTATCTTAAAACCTGATTAAATGTTAAAATTATTTGTTTCTTTACTTGACATTTGCACTTTCCTTTACAATAAAAATGAGACCTACGAATAGTGATGCGAATCGTCATCATCACTGTATAGATCACATTTTTTCATACTCCCTTATTTTCATATACTGTTCTGTATAATACCAGACCTTTCAACTCTCCCGGTTTTGCCGGGACCGGGAGACTCCAGGTTTTGCTTGCTTTCTCCCGGTCTCCCGGTTTTTTATGATTTTCTCCCTGTTTTTTCTTATCCTTCAGCAGAGGTTTTCTTATAACAAAAATGATTGAAATGACTTTCTTAATGACCAAGTTTTTTGTTTGTGTTTACAAATTAACGAAAACGTTAACAACCATTAGGAAGACGCTACCCATATGATAATTTTTGTCATTAACTGTTTGTCCAACATGACGATTTTTGATAGATATGTTGTCTATAAATTCAATACAATCCAGGAAACTCTCTGTTTTTAGCCAAATCTCACCCAAATCTCCCTGTTTTGTTAAGCAAAAAATCTGAAATCTCCAGGTTTTGAAAATTATAGGTTGAAGGGTCTGTGTATATATGAATGCAAATCTTACAACCTGCGCCACAGACCTTGTCAATCTTGCTACAACGAGGCTAGACTAGACTTGTTACATGATTCATTTTCCTTGAAACCTTTTTCTGGATTTTGAATTACATCTTATAACAATGTTAACATTATCTATCAAAGTCAGTCTGCGGCATGATAATTGAGTTAGAAGGAGAAAACTCCGTGGTAGTCCAAAGCTTTTTACGTATATAGTGTGTGACAAATATAGAGAGATGTTTGTATGAAAATATTTGAAGGCTTTGTGATCAAGAAACTTAGGATTTTTGCTTGCTCATAACAAATTTTGAGGGAGGAATAACACGCTTTTCCAAAAATTTATTTGTTTATATTTTGTTGTAGTGCAATGTTTATATTTTTCACAATTCTAGATGTTAGTTAGTATACATATACATGATAAGTGATAATTCAAATAATCCGAAGGGAATGTGAAAAATAATAAACTAGGTATTAGACAAACATTCAAATCATAGTCCTCCTTTGTCAATTATCCATGAAGGTCAACGTGTTGAGAAGCCTGATGAAATTGCAGAGGCCTTTAAGAGGCACTTTATCTCCATAGGCCCAAAACTAGCCGAAAATATTGAAGCCAAAGATTGCGGTGACCCACTGAAGTACCTACCCAGCGAAGGACTGCCGGTTGATACTGGTTTTGAATTTCAAAGGGTTGATCCTGAACTCATTGAAAATGAGATCAATAAGTTAAAATGCTCTAAAGCTGCAGGGCACGATAAGATCTCAGTTAAACTAGTGAAAGAGGCTGCTGATATTTTATCTAAGCCATTAGCAGCTATTTTCAATTCCTCTCTTGAAAGCGGTATTTTTCCGAACATATGGAAAGTATGCTGATAAACGAAAGATAAGTTTTAGCATCTTCCTTGATCTAAAGAAGGCATTTGACACTGTGGATCACAAAATTCTGCTCTTTAATTCATCAAAGTACAGTGGAATCCCGGTATAACAAACTCTGAAGGGAACCAGAAAACAGTTCGTCATATCGGGAGTTCGTTAAAGATGACGTTTTTTTGGTTTTTTGGAACTGCGGTTCACGCCTTAAAAAACCTGCGGTGGGCTTGATTAGGCTATCTCCAACCTCTGTGCACAGTTAACTCCAAAAAACCAATCTGAATTGAAACAATACAACTGGCTGGTCATTGAAAATGAAAATCTAAATGTTTCTTTCATAATTTGGGACCAAGAGATTGCCAAAGCTGGTATCACTTCGCTCCAATTTGGTGCCTGAATGACCTCTTCGATTACTTTACATTCTTATTTGCCTTCAATCGCAATCAATTTTTGTCGACGCTCATTCCCAATGTCTCATATATAAGAAGTTATTTGTTAGTGTCAATGTACTCATTCGCAGTAATTTCTGACGCAATCAAACTTTCATCTCGTACACTGAGTCTATCAGCCAGTGCTTGAAATGTATCATCGGCATGTTTTACCGATTACAAAATGATTTCCCCTAAAAGAAAGTGATAAATGAACACTGAAAATAAATAAACAAAACAAACAGATTAAAATTTTATGAAAAGTTTGTTATATCAAGGGTATTTATGATGAAGGGACCTACAATCAGGTTCGTAATAACGAGAGTTCGTTATATCAGGGGTTCGTTATACCGAGAGAATTTGTAAGAAGATTGTTAGGCAGAATCCAAGGGACCAGAAATTTAGTTCGTTATACTGGGTTAGCATACTGGGAAGTTCGTTCTATCCGGGGTTCGTTATATCGGGATTCCAATGTATGGCATAGGAGGAACAATGGTTTACATCATACCTAACTGACAGGATACAATAATGCCAAATCAATGGTTCCAGTTCACAACAGAAAAAGGTTCAGTGTGGTATTTCCCCAGGGTTTGTACCTTGGGCCCCTCTTTTTATCCTATACGTAAATGATTTTGAGCGATGCTTAGAAAAAAGTTCAACAAATATGTATGCAGACGACACTAGCATAACATGCTCTGCAAGAGACATTAAAGAACTGTGCAATGACTTTAAAACTGAGGGTAAGAACATTGCAGAGCGGATGCGGCAAAATAAGCTTAGTCTGAACACCATAAAACGTCAGAAAAGACGAATTAACCATATCCAGGGGAAGATAACCGTGAAAATAAATGGAGAAAAAATCCAACCAGCCCATGAAGTAAAATATCTAGGAGTCACTATCGATGAAAACCTACCTTGGAACAAGCAGTACAAGAGGCTAAAGTGGTACAAGAGGCTAAAGTGTAAGCTCAAAATTGGTCTTTCTTTGTTGAGGAAACTTAAAAACATACTCCCACAATCGAAATTGGACCAGGTTTACAGGGCACTTTTCCAGAGCCATCTAAGATACGGTGATAAATTATGGGGGAGTCTGTCCGCTACAAAGCTTGAACATCTTCAGCGTCCTCAAGACAGGGCTCAAACATTGATTGAAAGTGCTAAATTTGAGGACAGCCTTAAGAGGTAAATTAATCACTAGATCAGAGATATCCAGGTATTCGACAAGGAATCAGCTTGATATTGATATCCCAAGGCAAAATTTGGAATTCTCGAAGGAAAGTTTCTTTCATTCTGGGCCAAAACATGGAATGAGATTCCAAGAAACATCAGAATAAGCCCCACAATTTCCATGTTGAAAAGAATCTTGAAGGGCTTCCTAAAAAGTTAATAAATTCTCAAAACAAAACACGATCCCTAGGTAGAGCAGCAACATCTTTATTTTTTATATATATTAAAGAATTTATTTGTAGTAGAAGTAGTTTATTTATATTATAGCTGGTAGGGATTTCGTGCATAAAGATTTTGAAATGAAATGAAAATTATTTGAAAAATGGAAGGATATTTTTACGTAGGAGCTGATGTTGCGGCACAATAGATTGCAATGACTCTTTTGAAAGAGTTCCAAAAAACTTGTACCTTGAGGGCTCTTGCCCCTTGAGCATGGCCACAACAGATTTTAAAAGTTTGGTTATGTTTTCATTCTAGACACATAAACACAGTTAATTGCTGCTCAATTAAAAGCTCGATTTGTATGGTTAAAGCTTTTTAATACAAGAAATCCGTTTAAGGCTATTTTTTCAACTGTCCAGAGAAAAAATTCTTCTCAGTATTGCTAGGTTTAAAAAACATTCCTTTCAAGGGTTATTTGAAACTTTAACATCACTTCTAAATAGCGAACAATCATTTGTTATCCCAGCCATAACAAATCCCTACAAAGTCAAATTGGAACATTGCTCTTGGAGTGTTAAGACTACATTCAAAGCGAAAACTTTCGGACAGAAAGGTTTCGGCAAAACAACTTCGGAATAAAAACTTTAGGACGCATTTTCGAGCATTTCGGACAAAAATCTTTCGGACATACACTTTTTGTATGATACCACGATACATGCCAAAATCAACTTAATGTTAGTATGGGTGTAATAGAAAAGCTGGGGAACAGCTAGCCTCGCAAAGCTTAAAGCTGTACTATAGCCCTTGTACAAAGCTCCAAAAATGGAGCAAACTGAGACAACTTCAAAAGCCCAGTATTTCTTTCTTGAAAGTGGTGGAGCGTTGTCGATAAAAAATATCACCTATTGCCAATTCCTTCTGGACGGCTGAATTTGTTCCGAGTACAGTTTTCAAGATATCAGACTAAAAGAGGAGATGCCTCCATCGACCCAAAGATACTGTTTCTAAGAACTAGAGTTTTCCAACGCCTTTTTTTCCTAATTTCTTCAGAACGTTGTACGAAAGTTTGACCGTCCGACCGTTTTCGGCTTTAATGTAGTTCTGACGTGATATATAACTTCTTTTTTATTTTTGACACATATTCACCCCACCTTCAGTTTTAAATTGATGGATACAAACCCTTGGAAAGGATCTGTAGCGAATTTTGCATACTTTGTAACTGCTTTTGACATTGTCAAGTTTCTCGTGTCTTTTGCACAAAACTGTTTTATGCAAAAGTTCTGACAATTGATGACAGAGAGGTCGTACCTACAACCTGCAACCAATATGATTCACGTAAATTGACCGAAACCGAGCAGACAGGGCGAAAACCGAGCAGACAGTGATGGGCATCCAAAAATTGATTCCTTTTAATTAATAGACATGAAAAGTCTTTAAGAAAGTAAGTTTTTATTACGTTAACATATTTTGGCCTGATTCTTTGTATCGTCTTTTGATACGATTTGTAGAGTACTGTCAGTATTGTACAGGTCGGGAGAGATGTCAAGACTGCTGAATGAAAACGAGCCAATATTTAAAAGCTGTTGCATTAAAAAATGAAGACAAATCTCGAAAGGCGTTGACCACTTGAAATTGTTTCCACGCTTCTCTGACGTATTGTGGTGTGTCATATCCATCAAAGCATCTCAACTAATATCCTTGGCTTTCAAGGATCACCCACCCTTTTGCATGTGACTCAACAAAACGTGGAACGGTTCCATACCGTAATACTCCATATTGACATCAGAGCACACTGATAGATCAGGTTATCAGAAGACACTGAAAGATGGCTGTAACGAAGAATATTTGGCTTATTTTAACTTTCGGCGTTCTAGCAAGCGGTAACTATGCAGTTTAGATTCCATTTTCTAGTAGCCTGATAACCTGCCTATTTTCTAGTAGCTTTGTGTTTGTTTACATGGCAAGCTACATTAACAGGCGTCTAGGCTTCTAATGCAGCACTGTCTTCTTTGATAAGCGTCAAGAGTGTGTCAAAAGGCAAATGTTTCTTTTTTATTGGTTGACTCGTGGACAAACCTCGCAATTTGATTTAGCTTTTGCAGAGCCAGAGCCTCTCTAGTCCTCATATTTATACAGGCCCCTACGATTAAACCGTGTAAAATCAGGACTCTAGATAGACTAGGGGCAGTGTTGTACCTCGAATTTCCAAACAGTGAGAATAGGGTGCGGCGAGAACTCACTGATTAATGAACTGGCTAAAGCAGTTTATTAATCAGTGAGGGTCGGCAACGGTCTGCGTTGGTCTCCCGATTTTAATGGAAACACTTTCTTCCAATCGTTGCGATTGCGCCGAGTGTGAATCGCAAGGATCGGGAGAGTTGATCTGAGTTCTACTTTCCCGACTTTTACGACTCTTCGGATCAAAGAAAATTATAATGGGAACACGGGTCGCCGACGTCGCCGATTCACTATTGTTAAGAACAATCACTTGGATGTAATCAACCAATCAATGGAAAGTGATTTGGCGTGTACTTGCTTGCTGTTGTCTTGTTGTCAAAAATGTCGCTTTTTCTTTTATCGTTATAGAAGATGGAAGGAGGGATCGACGACACGTTCCCGACTCTTACCATTTTATGGGAACCAGGTATAAGAGTCGGGAATGTGTCGCCGATCCTTCCTTCCATCTTTCATAACGATGAAAGAAAAAGTTTTCCCATATATTGCATGTCAATCAATCCGATATTGTTTTGCTTTATTGGTCTAAAACTATACTTGTATAAGGATCAAGCAAACTCGCAATCCTTCTTTGAATGTGTATCAACACTACTTTATTGCTTTTTCAAATTTATTGCTAAGAGAGCAGCTTAAAACCGTCCTCTAAAAACTCTTACTCAGACATTGAAAAACAATGACTAGTTTGGCATCGGACTAGCCCTAGGCTACAGCAAACATATGCGTATAAAGGCCTATAATTTTGCAAGTCAGCCTGACTTTTGGATACGTAGTTCATAGGAAATGGGGCTGTTTAGGCTCCTGAATAGGCTCCTTTTTATGCAGGCCTTTCACAAGTTTCTTTGGTTCCATTTCAAACTGCAAGCATATTATATCCTGGCACCAGAGGTCTGGGACGTTCAGTGGGTGGCATACATGTTATTGGGGTTCTCTACTACTTACATAAGGTGTGTGAGAAAGTTGAGTAAAAGGGACTCCATCAAAGATTTGAATTCATATGAAATATAAACAATTTAGCACTTTAGCACGGAAATAGAAGAATATTGAAATACTTAACAAAGTATTGAATTAAAATACAGAGTAGTGAATAGTGCATTTATATAGGTATTTTGAAGCATCTATAATACCAGTTGAAAGTTGCACGACAATGACTAAGAAACTTATGTTATTTGGTGACCTCTACAAGTGAGAACCTATTTCAGAATTTCAATCTGTAGGTTCTTAATCCACTAGATTCTTATATGCAGGTGTTTTTGTACTCGTGAAGGCATTTTCCAGTCGTGATTGACGTAACACCATGTAACACGAATCAAAAGCAAATAGATTGGAATCATTTCAAAAATAAAAATAATAATAATAATGATAATTATAATGATAACACGTTATGTTCTCCATTTCAGAGTGGCTAATAATTTTTTAACATAAATTGTTGCCAAGCAGTAGCACAATTAAATTTTTCTCTGTTTTCGTTGTATAAAAATTTATCTATGGCCTTTTCGATGGCCGCGTTTAGTTTAGGAATCTTAGATAGAAATGTCTGCGGTATAAATATAAAAGTTCAAGAATAAGTATACTTGACTTTTTCGGTACACTCGTCCATGGCTTTTGTGATTTATAGAATTTTCTATTTGATTGCTATTTGCTTGCATATTTTAAATTTCAGGCAATTTAATGGCAAGGTTTGGCATTGCCATGCTTAAATGTTTCTTCTTGTGCTTCACACTTTCTGCGTTCGGAATTCTCGTTTGTTCCCTTGCAGCTTTCAAATCAGACCTGTTCAGTTTTCATAACAACAGACCAGCCGCCTTCGCTATCTAAAATGCACTTTATTTACCAATCAAGCTACTCTTTTTCAACTAGCATTTATTATTTTGCATTATTGATTTGTTTATGTTTAGCAGAAAGATCTATTTCAAATATCATCAAGTCATTTTTAAATTCTGAGCAACAGCATTTTTCAAGACCTCTTGTCAATATATTGCTTTCTATGTCATAAACAGTTTACCCTACAGGTGGTTGAAATCTTGAATATTGGATAATGAAATTTTGACAGTTTTAATCCATTAACTTTTTACAAGACAATAATCATTATAAAATTACATTATAGTATGATTTTCTACAGAATATTTGTTTCTTTTTCTCCACTTTGTCAGCCGCATTTCTCACGTCATCAAGGAAGGTCCTAAGCGCGAAAGGTAAGAGCAAACATCTTAATGATTATAACTTCAATGACTTAAAATTTGACATTTGATCGAGAAAAAGCCATTTGCATCGATATTTCTCATGAATTTTTGTCCTAATATTTTCTGTATCAGTACCCCAACTGAAGGTTTATTTATTGATTTTATTCAAGAATGAATCTTTATATAAATTGTAATAAATTTGCATGTCTTCTACTAATCGCAAATTCTCAATTTCAAAGTAACGAAATGCCCAACATGTTGTCTTCTTTTTCATTAATCTTTCCAACTACTTTCCCGTAAGAATCAAGCAGATTAAAAGTTTGAGCATCAAAAGTATCAATGGAATTCCAGCAAAAAGTCTACCGCTAATATTTTGTGCATATTTAAATGCAGCAAATGCTGCTCAAACCGTTTTGGTAGTGCAACATTTGTTCAGTATCGTGCAACATAAGTAACCCAAACTCAAAAAATTTTTTTCAGTTAATTACAGGTTACGTCTTACTCTATATAGTTGTTGATAATCGTTTATTACAATAATTGATAATTACAAAATAGCAAAACAACATATATAAAGTTAAAAAAAAACTTAAGAAAGAGCTATCGAAGCCATGTGCTCAGTTGACGCGTTGTGTTGGGTTGATTTTACTTATAGATTTTGGTTTGAAATTCTAACAATAAGAATCAGCAAAGACAATATAAAAAAAGAAGAACAAAAATAAAGAATAAAGGTAAAATATAACAAATGCACCGTGAGACATGTAATGGGTGGGCAAATGATGCAACCTCATGTTTGCACTAAAGTTGCATCGTTTGGAATGCTATATAAACTCCCGATGACCCATTGTGTCAACTCTAATAATATAAAATTCGTTAATACTTTGTCTCACGTAGACAGAAAATGCTTCCAACGGTTGAGAACATTCGGATCACGCCTATTCACTTGCTGTGATGGAAGAATCGTGTATAAACCAAATTCAGTCTCCTATTGCTGTGGTAACCAGGCTTATGACCCCCTGAGGCATATCTGTTGTGGAAATCAAGTGTATCGCAAGAAAGAAAGGTACTACACATGTTGCGGTGACGAGGTTAGAAGTCATTTGCTGGTACATTATTCATTTGCCAATGCTAAAGGGTTTACCATCAGCGAACCATGCTTGAACCATGTTCCAAAGTAACCAAAAGTCAATTGGAAACTGAATGCTTTAACCAGCCAAACCCTACACTCTTTTTTGGAATACTGATCTCCAATATGAGCATATTACTTTATGAATTTTTAACTATAACTACTTGAGGCTATAATCTATTCTTCATTCTTCTAGCCATATAGCCCCTCTAAACAAGGATGTTGTGGAAACCAACTGATCAATAGGGCGGGAGAAGGCTGTTGCCGAAACGTCAAATACAACAAAACAATGGATGCTTGTTGTGAAGGGAATGTGGTGCCTAAACTTGGTGGGTGAGTAGCCACTGAAGATCTTAAATGTTGCCTTAAAATATTTTTTCCGACCCCAAAAAAAGGAGTTGAATCCTAATAGAGAAGTTAGGGAATAACCAAATGAGTAGCTGCACTCGGAAATTTAAAAGCCAACTGGAACCTTTGTTATTTACTTCCAGCTTACCCCCTCTAGAACCCCTCTCATAACAGCATTGCCTACCTATGTAAATCTTATCACGAATTAAAGACTCAAATGCAACCAGCAGAGGGTGACAGCAATTATCTATATTTTCAGGGATACTTGTTGTGGACCTTTCGTGTACAAAAACGATGAATTCATCTGTTGCTCAGGATTTTTGCAGCCTTTCTCTTCTGGTGGCCAAGATCATTCGAAATGCTGCCTGACTGATTCTTATGATTCTAGAACACACATTTGTTGCAACTTGAAGGTAGGTCCGGACTTCATCGATTCAGTCACAGGTTGGATAAAAAGCATGAGATAGAAATCTTCAAAATAAGTATATATTTATATTGGGATAATGTTTGTAAAAGAGTATTTCGTAATATGGATCTATAGCGTCCAACGGGGGTTTGGTGAAAATAATCTAACTTTTTCAAAAATTGACGGTCATTTCCAGCACTATTGGTGAGAGGTTTGGAGAACTAAGCATTTGGTTTAACAATTATCGGTTATAACCAAGTGTAACTCACTTCAATTTTTTAAAAAGTTTAGGGAAATCGGCCTCCTTTTCTCTATCTTGTCTTATATTTTCATTGCTAGATAGAAAAATTTTAATAGATTTTAAATTAGAAAAAAACCTGCGTTAGAACCTGCATTTAAACATTCGTTTTCAAACCGTGTATTTTTACAGCAATTTCTGTGCTAAAGCCAATATAATTTTTTCGTGGTTGTTAATAGATCACAAAGAAGAAGAATTCACAAGATAGCGGTTGTTGCTATGGAAGGACCTACAACATCAAAACCCAGTATTGTTGTACTGGGCAAATCCTTGATCGCAAACCTGGTGAGGATTCAGCATGTTGCAATAGTGCCACATCTTCCTTAAGGTACGAGAAAATGCTACATTTTTGCGTTTCATTATAGATAAGAGAATGATTTTAACTCGTGAGTTCCAAGACACATAATTTTTTAAATTAAATCACAAAAATAGGTTAGTTGCATTTATAAATACGTAAAAAGTTGGGTTGATCACAGTTGCTATCATCAAGAGAAATTTCTACAAAAGACATTTTTGTCTACGTGCAAAGCCAGCCACCAAAGGCAAACTCAAGCTTTTGAACAGCATCTTACCCACACACAAGATTTCCACTTAACTTGAAGAGCCTGATAAGCTGCATTTAAAGATAGTTATCATGATTAATATTTTCTTATTTGATCATATATCTTACTTCCAATCAAATCCATATCAAATCCAATTAAAATTGGAGATCTCCTTGGCAGTTTGGATTTGCCATGGCCATAGTAGGAATGCCTTACGGATTAAACAAAAATAGACTTTGGAAAAGTCTGCTGTTTACTGATTTTTCATAAAGTGCAGAGCTGTATCCTGATGAAAGGTGTACAGCATTTAACTAGAGTGCAATAAAAAATCGTGCCCATGTGTTCCTTCAAATTACTGTCCAAGACATTACAATTTAATAATATCAATAAGCAACGATCAAAGGTAGACCAAACTGGAATTGAACATAATAATTGTTTCATTTTTCAGTCTCCTAAAATTTTTCCCAACATTACTATTATGGTTCTCAGTGGCGTACCCAAGGGGGGGGAATAGGGGGGTCCGGACCCCCCCACTTTTCTAAAATATGGTCCTCGAGATTTGTCCAAAAACGATTTAAAACTCATTGGGGGGGGGGAGAGTATACTGTATGCTTGTGTCAATAAAAATTGTAAAATACTTTGCTATTTACCATAGCTGAAATGAATCAAATGATTGGGGAAAATTTTGCAAAAAGGGCGTTTCCCCGCATTTGCGAGTGTTTGAAGGGCGTGGTCCAAAAAATTTCTGAGGGCTACGCCCCAGGCCCCCACTTATTGGTTCTAGCAATTGTTAAACTTTGCAGAAATGATCTTTTGGCATTTTAACATAAAACAGTAAAATATATAGCATATTAAGTGTTATGTTTTTTTTACTTAGTTACGACAGAAACAAGCAAATTTGCTGCCGAGGAAATCTTCAGCTAAAAAAGTGGGGCAAAAACACTGGCTGTTGTGAAGGGAAAATATTTGATTTGAACACAGAGCTTTGTTGTGATTCAGAAATAAAGAGGAAGTCTCCAGGAAAGGACAGATGTTGTGGATCGTTTCTATACAGTGGGGAAAACTACTTATGTTGCAAAACAAGGCTGTTTTACAAACCTAGCAGATTCTTTCTTTGTTGCAATGAAGCAACATTTGACAACAGATATTACAGCTGCACAGAAGGGAAAATCATTCCACGTGGAGGGGGAGCTTAAAGAAATTTGAACTCCAGAAAACAACACAGACACAATTGAATTATTTTTTTTAGCTAATCCTAATAGCTTGAAGTCATATAGCAGGGAGGAGCATTTTAAAAATTTTCCAAAACTGTATTTGTTGCAGAAAACAACAGCAAAACCCATACAATAAGCATCACAATGTCTACTTAGCAGCAAAACAAAAAAAAACGTTCATATGCTGGCAAATTTTACCTGAAATTTGTCTTTCTTTCCACAAAAAATTGATACTAACGAATTTAGAACCAAGCTCCCATTAATGTGTAGTAATGCTTTGTTTTGCAATTCTGATTAAATGAGTGATTTTGACATCAATGCTGTCGAACTTTATTAAATTTGGTTTGGATTGGAATTCTGACATGACATTATGATTCTAAACCTATGGGAGCTACTTGTGTCGTACGGTAAACGTTTTTGACACGATATTTGGTTTTCTCTCTCTAAAAACCAAACTATTAACGGAATCAGATCAAACTATACATCATTTGATGCACAAGAACATGGCAATTCCAACCATGTCAAAATAATACCAAATATGGTAAAATGACACTTTCCATGCAAATTTATTGCTTGTACAACCTTCAAAAGCTATTTTGTACTCTTGCGTTTGAGGTATCAAAATCTGACTTATATCAGCAGAAAGCGCAGATCCTAAGCTACCAAAGAGTGTCTCAGATTTTTCAAATTCCTCCTCCCCTTGAAACTGTACGCTGCCAAAAATTGGCAAACAATTTTTCTTCCCTCTCATAGCTGCATTTGGCTATAAAAGACGGACCAGAGCAAATACAAAAATTTTGAGACACTGTTTGCTTACCCGACATCTCTCCTGGCCGTGTGCAAATTTTTGAGCCTTTCGATCGGCTCCTTGGTTACAAAATAGCTTTTTCGTACCTGTATGTAGAGGATTTGTGCGTCCGGAGAAAAAGGGATTTTACTGATCTCGCTTGCAAGGTACACTCGTAAACCACAGTGTAATCCGGGTCAAGACACTTGAAGCTTTAAGATCAATACCGTAAATCCTCGAATTGGCCCCCTGGGGCTCATTTATTTTTGACATTTTTGGACGGGGGCTTATTTGAGAGCAGGGGTTATACGAGGGGGGGGGGGGGCTCATAAAATTATTGTAGACAATACAATAAGAAGACATCGTAAAAAGACCTTGTTTATTTTAGTAGGAATTTCTTAATGAGCATTTAATCGATTACTACCAAAAAACGAATTTGTCGTGGTAATTCAATAAAACACCATAGGCAACCTCAGATGGCAAAAACCTTTACTTCAAATTGAGAGGTCCAATTCGAGAATATTGACAGTTTGTAGTTTTAGAGTGGGGGCTTATTCGAGGGGAGGGCTCTTTCGAGGGGGGGATGCGAGGAATTACGGTAAGCCTGTTTAAATAAACACGGCCATACATGGGATACATGGATGTGGCATGCGATATTGTAAATAAGACATGCAACCACAACCGCAAAGCAATGATAATCGGCTTAACAGGTCAAGAGATTTTCAGGCCTCAACTAAAAGTTCTGAGAAAGAAATTATGTAAACCTCCATTTACATGGCATTTTTTCCATTTTCAAGATTTCTGTTAGTTTCAATTTTGGTACCATTGTGTGCCTTGAAAGTTCGGCTACTTGAATGTGAGATAATTGAAAAATGGATGTTTTCATTCAGAAAACGTTTACCGTAACCTTAAGGAATCTCAACTGCAGTCTCTCTGAAGCATTTTGGAGTTAAACCTGTTTTATTAATTAAACAAAAAAAACTAATGTACTGACGAGTACTGCTTTTGTCATACATTGACAGCCTTGAAGCTACAAACCTATGACCTTGTAATCAAAGGTAACAAGGTGAATGTTTCAAAATAAAAAATTATTTCTCAATTATCTCATGACTATGACCATTTTCCAGTTGCCAGTGATATTTCATCACTCTAGCATGATTCCTCTGACTCCTCAGACAATAAACCTCAGATAATGACAAAAAGGAAGCAGAAAATTTGTATTCTGGTGTAGATAGAAAATAACCTGAGAAGAAAAGGGCTTGGCTTGTTTATTGCCTTTTTGCCAATCAGTGACTGCTAACCTCATACTTATTTGAACAGTCCAAGAGAAAAAAAAACTTCTTCTGTCTACACGAATCAGAAATACTTTGAGGATACAACTTGTGTTTCTGTTTTTCTAATGCTATCTTGAAATCTTTTGGTTCCAAAGGGTTATTTGGATAATAATTTTCAGAAAAATTGTGAACTTCAGACAAAGTTAAGAAAGATTATGAAATTCTATACAACTGAGTATTGAATTCATTATGCTGATTTTGGTTATCAAATAAGGCAATTTGAGGATAATATTCAATTATCTAACATTCACATCACTAAAATACCACTAAACATCTACTCTATTTTTCTGGGTCATATTTGGGGTTTACAGAATTCAAAGAAAGGTGAAGTATGCAAATGAGATTAAATGGCCATATGGAAAGAAGCCCATGACAGAGTTTACAGGAGGAAGTAAGAAGGCATAGCTTGTCCAGGCAATGGGGTACTTGCCATTTAATAATTTACAAGTACAAGTAGACTATGAAAAGAAAATGTCAAAGAAAAAGAAACTGCTAAAATCTTCAAGTACATATGAAAGTCTATGAACAATATACTTAAAACTCAGAAGTTTGACTTAAGTTTGTCATTTTAGTAATAATCAACAATGATGGTACAATGTTGATGATGGTACAACTCAACTGACAACTGACATGACTGCAACTGACCTCAAATGTCCCAGAGTCTTCAATTTGACTTTTTTCCCCTCAATATGCTTGCTTGTCAGTTGAATAGTAAGTATTCAACACTAGTTTAAATAAAAGCTAGTGTCAACACAATGTTCAGCTAAATCCACTTTTGAAGACTGGTTTATCTCCTTGCATAGTAACCTTTCCCTCTAGTTCCAGGTAATGCTCTTCCTCTTGCAGCAACTAAAATTATTAAAAGACATAGAAAATAAATGAAAATTTGACTTCTGCAAAAATGGTGTAACAATGCAAAACTTCTAAAGAACTTAAACGATGCAACAATAGACTAAAGAAGTTCTTTACATACATTTCATACTTGTATAGGGGGGAAACAAAGCCAATGTAAGTCTATATGGTATTCAATATAGGTACACAACACCAAGAATAACCAAAGGGTAAATTTTTGCTCAATGATTACATTTATAGAAGAAAAACATTATTCACCCATGCAGACATTCATAGCCACCCGTGAAAGTGAAAGCAAGATATAGTTTAGTACATACTTTCAACAACTGCTCAAGGTTGGTTTTTATAACAAGTAATATATATACTTTGACACAATTCAAGCTCCACGATTTTCATGGTATGTGAAAACCGAAAAAGGTATTTCATCTTAATTCATCATAATTCAAGGTATTTTGTTGGTAGAACCCAAGTTTTTCACCTCTTTATTTGAATAATGTTCTATTAGGATTATTTATATTAGGTGGTTTTCATATAAGGGGAACAATCTTAATTGATTGCCGACTCTGAATTGTGATGCTTCTGAATTTACCAGACTGCAGAGTATGGTATGGTAAGTGCACACCTAAGATATAATTTCAAAAATTTCCCTGCTAAGCTGGTAAAGGGTGTTAAACTTTGAGATCTGGGTGTGAACAAAACTTAGAAGGTGCAAGAGGAAATTTTATGATGTGCAAGTGTGCCTTTGATATAGGAAAACACTTCAATTCTCCACATTTAGTGCCAAAATCTATGCTACAGAGAGTATATAAGTCATGATGACTGAAAGTAGAGTAAACATAGTTAATATATATAATAACAAAAGGTTATTTCTTTTAATAATAATTATACTTTTTCAAAAATGTAACTTTTAGCTCATCAAATGTACCAGAGGTTCTTAGTTAGTGGTGTTCTGCTAGACCTATTGGTTTTAATATTGTGTATTTATAAATATGGAGGGTATTTTATCATTAACATATACAAAATTATGCATGGTTTTGCTGAAGTTTTCGCTATTGTAACATTGATACTTGAGAGTGAAATGACATTATCAGACTCTATGCTGGATCCTCACCTTGAGCTTTGAGCAGAGCAGATTTACCACGACCAACTGCAGATCCCCGTTCTTTACCCTGGATTCTTTTAAACATTGGCGCATTTTTCAGCATATCTGGTAAAATAATAAACCGAATTTTACTTCCTCTTATGAAGATTTGTTCTAGATTTGATACTCGGCCGTCTCTAGCAGTCATTGTGATTTGAATTAGTTGGCAGTTCATGTTATCCTCGGCTTCTACCAATTTGCCGCGGTAAACTTCGCCATTCATTGTTTCCAACGTAATAGTGTGACCTTCTGCTTCATGCAGAACCTTTATCGGTACCCCAATCGACATGGCAATTTAAGTTGGTATTCACAAGCTGATGTTTGAGATTTTAAGTGATTGTGGAAAACGCTGCACCAACGCTAGAAAACAGCGAATTAACAACTTAGGCCCTAAGAATGTGACCTCGTTCAAGGCCCTTGGACCTCCTTTGGACGGTACTCATGAGGGTTTCACAAAAATACAAATTAAACAGATAAGACTATAATAAATGGGACAAAAATATAACATATATGCAAATCTAGCTTAATATAACAAATGGAATTGCTCTTGGAAATACAAAAGATTTCAAATTAAATTTGATAAATACGATTGATAAAGGAAGGATTGTGTAAAGAGAATTTCTAAAAGCTAAGCTAAACGGGGAGAGAGCACACCCTGTTTGAAATTTAATTACTGAAAATTTCAAATAATTTCAAAGTCTATATGACTTTGCAGAAATGTTGACATTTCTATGGTTGGTAATTTTGTTTAAAGAAAGAGCTTTGAGTTTTCGACAAAAACTTTATGCAGATGATGAACTTCTTATTGCTACCGAAATGTTGTTCCAGCACTTTGCTCCATGGTAGCGTACTGATCTATGACCATATTGCAAGGTGTTTTTATGACATGCCGTTATTGGTGACAAGACGTGTACCATATTAGTGAACAGACTCAAATAAGGGAACGAAAGAATGAAACAAGCAGGAGAGATTTTATTGACAGAGTAATGCGAAACTAAGCAAATTAAGCTGAAAGGTATCAGGCAAGCTTAA